CTTCTATTTACACTGAGCCTGCCAAGCAAAGTCAGGAAGCAGTAAAGGAACAATTATGTCACCTAAATTATACCTGTGTAAATGACATTTGTCCAATTTAAATTTATTATCTGAATTGAACAGAGTGTTGCCATTGCTAATGGTAAATTATCCACCTTATTCTAATTTACAAGTAAATTACCACCACTTTACTTGCACCAGTTTTACAGAGGGAAGTCAATGATTAATTTAAAATGAATTGATTCACCATAAGTAGGTGGAGTTAGGTGAGATGAACCCCATCTTTCCTGATTGCTTTATTATATTGACACATAGGGGAAATAGTTGTCCTGATTTCAGCTGGGATAGAGTTAATTTTCTTCCTAGTAGCTGGTACAATGCTGTTTTTTTGATTTAGTGTGAGAATAATGTTGATAACATGCTGATGTTTTAACTGTTGCCAAGCAGCACTTAAGTCAAGGAGTTTTCAGTTTCCCGTGCTCTGCCAGCGAGGAGGGGCACAAGGAGCTGGGAGGGAGCACGGCCAGGACAGCTGACCCGAACCAGCCCAAGGGATATTCCATACCATAGGATGTCATGGCCAGTATATAAACTGGGGGGAGTTGGCTGGGGGGGTGAGATTGCTGCTTGAGCATCAGTCAGCAGGTGGTGAGCAGTTGCACTGTGCGTCACTTGGCTTTCTTGGGTTTTGTTTCTCTTTTTGTTATATTCCTTTTTGTTATAATAATTATTTTATTGATATTATATTTATTATTATTGTTGTTATTATGATATTTTCTTTTAGTTATTAAACTGTTCTTATCTCAACCTGTGAGTTTTACTTTTTTCCCAGTTCTCCCCATCCCACTGGTAGAGGAGGGTGCATGAGTGAGTGGCTGTGTGGTCCTTAGTTGCTGGCTGGGGTTAAGCCATGACAGTAGTGCAGCCAAAAACCACAGTAATATTTTTAGCTCATGTCATTAGTGACCATACATAACATCACAGTTTCTAATTAAAATAATAAATTCAGTTAAGCCAAGACTATATCTGTAGAAAATAGAAATGTGAAATCCCTCCTTGTGGCTTTTCACTCTTAATATTCACAGGTATTATCCCATGCATGCAGTAGTGTCACATCTCTGCCTCTCAAAGGAACCACTTCTCTGTTTGCTGGGTCTTCTCTCTGCGACTGCTTGGTGTTCCCCGCCCACCGGTGGCCTTTGGTGCTTCCAGAAGAGCATGCAGAAAGCCAGCATGAAGCTTTAGCATTTGCAAACCAAAAGCTGAGGTTTGACTGATCAGAAGAGCTAGAGGACTTCTGGTTTACTTCCAGCGCACTAAGTTTATCAGCAGACAGGAAAATAAAGTAGGTATACACTTTACAAAGCTGCTTCTAGCTAATAATAGTTCATGTCTGGAGTTGGTTTCATAGGGTACTTAGCAATCCCTAATTAGCCTTTTATATCAGGCCTTTTATATGTAGTGGGTTTGGTGTGAATTACTTAGGTATATGTAACGATGCTAAATTCAAATGGCTTGTGAAAGACTGCACACATGCAAACCACTTCCTAACTCATGGCACTTCAGCCAAAAGCTTCTCACTGAAATGAGGAGGATCCCTCTTGTCGAACACCTAAACAATGTCTCCAAAGGAGCAATGAAGCAAAAGCAGATGCCTTGCTCACATCCATGTAAATACTTTATATACACAGGTGGATTGTCTTAATTAAGCTATTCAACCTGCAACAGTTTCAGTATGCACTTGTACAGTCCTAAAATAACGCAGATGTAATCCACACATGGACTTTTCAGGCATCACTGAAGACCAGAGTTAGTGCTTCAGCGCAAATGGTGACTGCCCAGTGGCAGGCAGCAGATCTGGAAGGGCCCTCCAAAGGCTGTGGGACAGTTACTCTTCCTGGATGTTGACATTTTCTGATATGTCTATAAGCAAAAGTATTGTTGTTTTGATATCTTTTTGATCTATTTCTGCTGTTCTTTCTTAGGAAGAAGCTGATTTATGTGAAGATCCCTGAAATTCTCCAGGGATACTATCTTGCAGTAGAGAGTTGATTTTTTAAATTTTGAGATAAAATGTTAAATTTCCCTGTTCAAAGCATTGCAGCCACCCTAATTGAAAAGCTGAGTCAACATTCCAGGAGCTCGAGCTGAACTCCATACTTTCTCCATCTACACCGCTTACAGTAACAGTGTTAATTAGACACTCACAGTCAGAAATTCACCTTGCAGACTTGCAACATAGCCAGCAAATTTAACACAGTCATATTGCAGAATGAGACAGGCTGAGGTAAAAATGTTTTGGTTGGATGAAAAGTCCTACTTGTTCATGAATAAATGTTATAAAAACAAATGAAGAAAAGTATCTATAGTCCTCAATTTCATACGACTGTTAAGAATCATTAATGAACAGCAATGCAAAAAGCTACAAAAAATGTTCTAGTGAATACTTTCAGTTAGAGAAGCTGTTAAAAAATGTTTAAGTTCCTTCGTATGGTGTAAACTGCTTGCAGCTGTCATTTGCACATGTGTGAAATGAGGACAAAGAAAGCTAAGCACTAACAGAAATATATTAACAAATAATAAAGTTTGTTCACAGCAAGAAGACTTTAAAAATTCTTGGCTTTTTGAATGATGCATGACCAAAAAATATTACATGAATGGGAATTTTTCATTTATGGAGCAAAAGAGCCCATACTATGACCAGGTTATGGAGTTGTTTTTTTGTTGTTGTTGTTTGGGTTTTTTTTGTGGGTTTTCTTGTTTGTTTCTTTGGTTGGTTGGTTTTGTTGGTGTTTTGTTTTTTGTTTGTTTGGGTTTTTTTATCTTTGTTTGGTTTTGTTGGGTTTCTTAAGAAAAGAATAACACAGTAACTACAAATCTGTACACTTGGAGGTTCAGCTGGTACCTTTTTTCATCTCTCCCTCAGAGAATAAAACTGAACGCTTTAAAATAGTAAAGTGGTTTTACTATTTAAAACATTGTTGAGAAAGTGAATGAATTAACAGACTGAATTAAAAAGAAAAAAATGCAGATTATATATTGGCAGAAAGCAAAGACATTGGTTGGGTGGAAATGGGATATACATTGAGTATACAGCAACAGTGCACATCAGAAGAATACTTAGAACTCAAATTTTGTATGTACATTACGCTTGCATAATGCTTTAAATTCTTCTGTTTGTCATAATATTTGAAAATAAAACTTTGCTTGCAGTGTGTAGACTTCCTGTGTTTGTTTCAAATGTTTCACTTTTTTTTCCCATTTATTTTTTTCACATATTATTAAATGAATAATCAAATTCAGTGAATAGTGAACTTCCAGAATAGTGTTTTTGGATGACAGAGAAATGGAAGGATGGTGAAATGAAAACCAGACTTCTTTTATGTTCAAAATTCAGATAATTTGTTATTGTTATTTAACTGCTCAGTTAAAAAAAAAACCTTTTCCATTCTTTTTTTTTTTTTTTTTTTTTTGGCCAGTCCTAATGAAGAGAGTTCTGCTGGATCTGAGGGAGACTATCTCAACAAGGACAAGTGTAAGGTCTTACACCTGGGAAAACATAATCCAGGAGTGCAGCACAGACTGGGATCTACCTGGCTGGAGAGCAGTTCTGTGGAATGGGACCTGGGAGTTGTGGTGGACAAGAAGCTCGGTGTGAGTGAGCAGTGTGCTGCAGCAGCAGAGAAAGCCAACGGGGTGCTGGATTGCATCAACAAGGGCATCACCAGCACAGATAACAAAGTCATTATCCCACTCTACTCTGTGCTTGCCAGGCCACACCTGGAATACTGTGTTCAGTTTTGGTCCCCGCTTTACAAAAAAAGCTGTGGACAGGCTGGAGAGGGTCCAGGGGAGGGCCACAAAGTGATCAAGGGACTAGGAGGCCTGCCATATGAGGAAAGGCTGAGAGAACTGGGTTTGTTCAGCCCAAGAGAAGAGAAGGCTTAGGGGAGACCTTATCACCACGTTCCAGTGTTTACAGGGTGGCTACAAAGAAGATGGAGATTCCCATTTCACAAGGCGTCACATGGGAAAAACGAGGGGTAATGAGTACAAGTTACTCCTGGGGAGATTCCAGTCAGACACAAGAGTAAAATTTTTCTCTCTGAGAACAGCCACTGCAATAATCTCCCCAGGGAAGTGGTGGTTTCCCCAACACTGGACACTTTTAAGATTCAGCTGGACAGGGCGCTGGGCCATCTTGCCTAGACCGTGCTTTTGCCAAGAAAGGTTGGACCAGATGACCCGCAAGGCCCCTTCCAACCTGGTATTCCACGACTGGATGGTTCCACAATCTGTCAAGCACATCAAGTACTTCATCATGAACCCAAGCCTTGACAGCTGCTGTTTGTTTCCCATATTTATACAAACACATACTGAACACTTTTCCTGAGCTTTATGTTTGTTTATATATGGTTTATACATGGTCACTTGATTTTGTGGAAATGTGCTTCCTGTGACTGCCTGCCCACCGTGGGCCCAGCGGGTTAGGCGGGCAGCTTCTCACCACCGCCTCAGGTGAGGGCCAGGTCTTGGACAGCAGATTCGCTGCCCTGCATCTTTCCCCACGTATGACTCAAGTAACTGCCTGTGGAGCAACAGGATTCCTTTTTTTTTCCGTTTTGTGTTTTTTTTTTTTTTTGTTTATTTTTCCTGTAAACCCGGGTAAACGTATGAATGTAGACCGGCTTCCTTGTCCAGCCTGATCTGCGTCCAGAGGGAGCGAACACCTCCCAGCTTGGGCTGACCACTTCCACGCCAGCTGAAGAGTGCCAAATGTGTAAAAACCGCTTTACTTGGAAAAAGGCCAGCACTGCCCAGCGCCAGCAGTCCCGTACCGGCTCAGGTACGGCACCTCGCCCAGGTACTCCTTCACATGGAGCACCGTTCCAACCACACCCCCCCCCCCCCCCCCCCCCCCCCCCCCCCGGCGAGGAGCCGGGCGCCGGCAACGAAGGTCCCCACCTCGCAGCCGCCTCCCCAGCCGCGCACCTCGGCCCAAGCCCGGGGCGGGGTGTCCCACCGCACCCCCCCGCCGGCCGCGGCGGGGCGGGGAGCCGCCCGCTGGGGCCGCCCGCTGGCGGCCGAGGGGAAGGACCGGCGGCAGGAGGAGGGCGGCGGCTCCGCCCCGGCAGCGGGGCGTCGGGCTCCTCTCGGCCGCGGCGGTGGGGACGGCGGCAGCCGGCGGTAGCGACGGGGTCTGGCTTGGCCGCCAGCGGGGACCCAGTGCTGCCCCGCTGCGCCCGCCCGCTCCATCGCACGCTGTTGTCATGGAGGAGCCAAGATGGCGGCCCTGGCCTACACCGCGGGCAAGCGGGAGATCAACTACTACTTCAGCGTGAGGAGCGCTAAGGCGCTGGCGCTGGGCGCCGTCCTGCTGCTCGCCGCCTGCCACGCCGCCTCCCGCCGCTACCGAGGTGAGGGGGCGGCCGCGGGCGCTCCGGGGGGCCGCGGCTGGCGGGCAGCGGGAGGCGGAGCCCGGGGACGGCGGAGCCCGGGGACGGCGGCGGTCCCGCAGCCCGGAGCAGCCTCGGCGGGGCCGAGGGGCGGCGGGGGCGACGCGCGTACCCCTCTGCCTCGGCGGGGTGGGGCGGCGAGGGCAGCGCGGCCGGGCAGGTCGCTGGCTGCTGCGGGAGGCGAGCCCAGGGACAGCGGCGGTGGGAGCGGCCGCGGCCCCAGCCCCGTCGCGGGGCCCTGCGGGGCCCGGCCTCGGGGTCGCCGCGGGTTTCCCGGCGGGCGGGCGCGGCTGGCGGCGTGTGAGGGGGTGCGGTGTGAGCACAGCCCGACCCCTGGGGCCTTGCCTGCCGCGTCGGTAGCAGCTGGGCGGCTGCAGGTGAAGTTGCAGGGATAGGGGATGACTTCTTCCCCGTCACTAGTTCCCCTACAGGATGATTAATGACTTTTACCTGGCAATTTGTGATTAAAATCTTACTTGGCATGCGTTCCTTTACTGTTTGAGCCATTGCCTGAAACATAACAAAATCCAGCCTCTTTGGTGGATGAAGCAAAATAAGAGTTGCGTGGTTTCACGTGTTGTTAATGACCGTGGACAAGCCCCTGACAGAGATCTGGGGACCGTAACTGGTGAACATGACCTGGGCTGCACGTGAGGGCACGTTGGTTACCGGTGTGCAGGGAGCTTTGCTGCTTCCTTTCGGGTCATTTTGGCCCTGAAGCTGTGTATCTTGGCATGATCTGTAAATGCCAATGGAGCTGCTAAAGGAACTGTTTCCTTGTTTTTCATTCACACTAAAAAATGCAGTATGGTTTTGCAGGTAAATCAAAAAAGTTGGTCCAAAGAGAGATTACCGCGGCTCTGCTTATTGTAGGACAGCTGGTGTCATATTCTGGCACTTGCTGCCAGCGTCTGCGGCAGTTTACTGTGGAAATGGGAAAGGGAGTGGGGATCTTCAGGGATACAGTTCCCTAGATTCACCCTCTGGCTGGCATGTCAGTAAGTCTGATAGACTGACTAGAACTAAGTTGCAAGGCACGGAGGGGTTTACTGAATTCTAGAGTAGCTCAAGCATGAAGTGATTGAATTTGCCCGGTGTGCTGTGTTACTTAAGGCACAAATCAGTTGCAAAACCAGACGGAAGGCGGGTGGCAAATGTGATGCTTTTTTAAAGAGGGATTGCAAGACTGGCCTAAGAAAATAGGGACTGTCATGTCAAACAGATGACAAGGAAACTGGAATATGCATAAATAAGATATATTATGGGAGAGTTAATGAGGTGGGTGAGTCACAAATCGCAAAATGGTGGGAATCTGCAGGCCTTTATGTAAGCTGATATGATCTGTATGGATTTTCACAAAGCTTTCAACAAGTTGCTTTGCCTAAGACTTTTGATTTCTTGAAGCTATTATTGGGTAAGAGAGAGGCTTTCCCATAACTGTTTAAAAGATAGGACGTAGAGTGAGACTTAATACAAAGTTACCAGTTTGGGCTCCTTTTAATAACTAACATTAGGAAGACCTACGGTTTAGGAAAGGAGAGTTTCAATTAATAGCAGACAAAAGGTTTCAGGATAGACAAAAGCAGAGGTGATTGAGAGATCATTCTGCAGCCCTTCAGTGGTCTCAAGCACCTGAAATTCATCAGATGTCAGGATATATTTGGCAATTAATGAAAAAACAGAAGATTTCACTGTGATATGGCACAACTAAAGCTAACTGGCACCTTGCTTATTGTCAGTGGTGTTGGTCACCCCCTCTTAGCAGTGGTATAATAGAGCTTGGAAAACATACACAAAAAAGCAACACAAATAGCAGAAGAATAAAACAGCTTCTGTACAAGAAGTAATGAAATAGATTTAAATTCTGTAGCCTGGACAGAAAATTAGTGACTTAATAATGGTCTCAAATATTATGAATTAGTGGGGGAAGGTAAATTCATTGTGATTGTGTCATAACACAAAAAATGTCAACTGAAAAATGAAATTAGCAGGCAATACATTTAAAATGATCAGAAGAAAGCACTTTTTTTTTTCCCACACAAGACATTTTGAAACACATTGCCAAGATTTTATACCAAAAATACCGAGGAAAGGGTTATCCTGATTTGTAGAGGGTGGATGAGGTGGGGCTGCAAACATGCTGCACTTCTGGCTCAGAGTTGCTGGGCTGTGAAAGCCGGGCCATGCTGGGGGAGGGATTGCTCTGTGTTTGTTGTGCTGTTACACTAAATCTTTGAGCATCTGTTGTTAGCTGCTGTCAGGAAGAGGAGAGCAGGCAAGACCAACTCTTTCATGTGAACATATGTTCTGCCACAGTGGGGCAAGCAAGAAATTTAGCAATGAATTAACCACCCATGTGGATACTGTCTCTCTTTCATAGATGTATGGAAGAAACGGAGAGCTGCATATGAACAAAAAGTGGTGAAGGCTGTTTTTTGGGAGGTGTAGGGTTTTTCCCCCCACCAAAAATCTTTGCAACTTTAATATCTGAAGAAACTGATAACCTAAAGTCAAACCGTAGTTTGCATTAGTCGAAACAGGAACAGCCTGAATAACAAAATGAGATTGAGATTAGGCATGTCATTCACAAAACTAGATGTGCAAGATCCTGGTGTCCTGTAGAGCATACAAAAGGTAGAAAAGACCACAGTTGTCTGAAGAAAAATTAGGTGTTAAGTCAAAGCAATTTGTTATTTCATGTCCTCTATTATTTACAAAATCAGACTTATACCATGGAAGCATATTGACAGTGTTGAGATTTACAGACTGTCTGACTGCAGTTTTTCCCTTGGAAAATTCAGCTAGAAGGAAAAAGCCACAAAAAATGTACATAACCAGACAGAGAATGATACATATGAAGAAGGTTTGTCAGTGAATACTTTCTGTGGGACATGCATGAGTCCTTGAGAGATAGTAGTTATTTTTAAAACTTTTTTTTTTTTACTTCCCCAAGGAAGATATTCCGAAAGAGATAAAGGCACATAAAGGTTGCTTCTTTCATACCTTTTCCTTTTTTTCAACTATCCCTGGGTAAGAGTGAAAGTATTAATGTATAGATATTCTATGTTTTTGATGTGTCTGTACTTTTAAGATTTCAAGTGAGTGGCAGTTGGATGCTTTAACTTTTTGGTAGTTGGGTTTCTAAATTGAGCGAGATAAACTATGTTGTGCAGATTGTAATCTCTTTTTCTTTTCCCATTGCAATATTGAAAAGTTTGCAAGGCATCAATTGAGAATATGCATATGTTTTATAAAGCAGTTTGTTTTGTCTTGGCTTCCTTTGGGAATTTTTGGATGATTGAGACTTTAGTTAGGACTCCTTTGTTTTGTCCGATTGTCTTTACATGCAGAGGTTTCAGCTAATTTTGGCCTCAGTCGTGCAAATACATATTATAGATAGGAACAGCCCAGTGCACTTCCCAGTAAAACTTGCCTGCATAAAAGTTACTTGTATGAAAAAAGGCTGGACTGGGGTTGTGGAAGGTCAAATTCATGTTCAGGGAGACTGTCATATTTAAGGGTCACTTACATTTTTTGCAAAACTTAAAGTGAATTAATAGAAGTTAGGGACTGTCTGTAACTTGCCTACAGCTTCTGTGCAGAGTTAAGTGGACTAAATGTTTATATACTATCCGGTGAAGTTAGTGCTGTGCATTTTTCAGTTGTTATCATATTTCAAAGGTACAGTCCTAAACCTTGTTGGAAATAAGATTTTATTTAAAATTTTGCATTCTTAAAATCAGCAGCAATAGAGCTTGATTAAACTACAGTTTAATTTTGAATAGTAGAGAACAACTGAATTTCCATTTCTTCAGAGTAGAGAGTGTGCCTTTTAGAGAAAGTGTTGTGAAATGTAGGTTGTTCTGGCGCTGAATGAAGACTTTGAGATTTCACAATTTCAATGGAAAACCCATGATTTTGTGGAATGATAAATTAGAATAATGAGTATAATAAAATCCAGAAAATTTATACTCTTTGTATAACTATACTGTCGTGTATCTAAGTGCAACATTTGATAAAAAGGTAGTATGTTGGGAGGATAATTTGTGCAAAGCACAGAGGAAGAGCTTGAAAAGAATGATCTGTGTTTGGTGTGTAGAATGGTACTTAGATTTCTTTTTCTCGGGTTTTGTTTTGGGTTTTTTTTTAATTATTTTTTTATTTAAAAATATCATTAATGGTTAAGAAGAAGGTGTGGTATATTAAAATGGGAGGGATTGTTTGACTGCTGTGTATTTCATCTAAGTAAGACTTTTGGGGGCAAGTAAGACATTTTGGGGGGCACTGTCTTATCTATAACATCCAGTTTACTCTCTTGGCTGTTGTTTCAGTCTTGTTTTATTATCCCCACTCATGTTCCCTACAAAACTTCTACTATTATGTTTAAAATAAGATATCAGACACCAGTAATGCTCCTGATGAGTTTCAGGAGCTTTCTATTATTGCTTGGGGAGATAGTAAGATAATCAGTATCTGGTGCTGGTAACGAAGGCATAACTTCTTGGCCTAAAATATTATCTCTGTGTTTAAAATGTATACAGTGAGTGATGATTGGAGTGTTATTTCAGTAAACATACTGTAGGATGGAGGATTGTTTGTGGGTAATTGTGATGGGAGTGCCATGGAGAGCAGAGGTGCCAAGCTTGGGTCATGAGCTCAAGATACGGAGTTCACCTTCTCCTATGAAGAATTAGTAAACTAAGACTCTTCAAAGTCTTTGTCGAAACTTGAAAACTTAATTGAGGAAGGATTGATAATGGTCTACAAATCATGATAGACTTGACTGTGAACTGTCTCTTCCTATGGAAGAACTTGGGACTGCTGAGTAAATCTAGTAGAAACCGTTTTTAAAATAAAGGCAGGTGATTCTTTAAGCAGCAGCTGTAGGTGTGGAAATCTTTTGTAGAAGGATGCCATAGGTGCTAAAAAATTGAAGAGAAGACTGCATGACTTTGTCAGAAAAAAAATTTGCGGAAGGTTTTGAAAAATACGTAGAAACCATGTCCAGCTCTGGAAGTCCCTGGACTGAACATAGTTGGAAGAATATTAGACAAGAACATAATGTTTACTTACCCTCTTCTTATTCATTTGTGAGCATCTGCTTACGGCCCCTGTTGATGGCAGAATACCAGGCTAGGCTGACCATTGGTCTGACCCTGAATAACTGTCCTTATTTTCTTATGCATCTTCTTCATCAAGTTTGGATTTCAGAGGGAGTCTAATTAGTGGTGGATTTTCTTTTACATAGTTCACTCTTATATCACTCTAATTTTCATCATCTGCAAAGTGGAGGCCTTTGTAGCAGACTGTAAGTCACCTATTTTCATAATCTTATCACAAGCAGTGTGAGTTTGATTTTTTTGTAATTATTTTTTATTTTCTTCTGACAGTTTTATGCAACTTAGTTGAAATGAGAGTTTACATAAGTGTCTATATTTGAGAATCAAGGAGGGTTATGTTGCTTGAAAGCCAAAGCATAGAAACAGGATTTTAGCTGAAATTATTAAGAAAAACTGAAACTATAGTCATTCTGAATTTATGATTTCTACTGGAAAGATGTCAGTCCAGCAAATCTGAGCTATGCCAACATATTTAAAAAGTAGGTAGTAGCTTTCCATGTCATCTGCTGTGTTCTGAGCTGGTTCTGCAGGAATTTTGGCAGCAGGATCAGCAGCTGTCTTGTAAGTAGCAATGGTTGAAAGAGGAGCAGAAAGGCAGATAAACTGCTTCTGGAAGATCTTTTCTTTCGTCTGTTCAGAAATGGTACTGTACTTAATAATGAAACTGGCACAGACTAGATGTTGCTGACCTGGAGTGACCTGTATTGGTTGAAAAATAGGAGAGTTACAGAGACTAATTTTCTAGAAACCTTGAGTTCAGCCTACATTTATGGTCTCTGCATACTTTCATGAGAGCTCGTTTAAATATTCAGAAGCTTGCAACCTTCTGCATCTGGCCATTTGCCACATCCCATTGCTGCTGAGCAGTAATTAATCAGTTTGACATGGATAGTACATGTGCATTGCAATTAGGAAGGAAGTGCTGATTTGATTTGTGGTATCTCAAGAATTTGCTTGAGAGGTTACTGGTCAATTTGAGGGAATTCCTGACCTACCATGGGGTCATTAATAGACTCGATGATAAAAATGGGAGCTTATCACCATGTGTATGTATTTTATTTAAATTTTCAACACATTTTTATTCTGTCTGTCAAAATCTGCCAGGCCAAGAGCTCCCAAAACTGAGAGACAGGGAGTAAAGAATGACAGTTTTAATAAAGCAGGTTTAGCTTGTGCGTTAGCAATATGTCGTGTGGGTTGCTCACAGAGAACCAACCCAAACTCAGACCTATGACTTTGAGGTGTTTATCTAGAGCTTTTTCAAGACTGTTATAGTTCTTCATGTTATTCCATCTTTTTTAGTAGTCACGATGCAATAACTGTGGTAAGTAATCGAAGTTCCAGGAGAGAAAATAAATAAGTCTGGTTGTTAGAGTTGCAATGAGGGAATGAGGAGCCTTAGATTATGGTAAATAACGCTGCTTGATTGTGTTACTACTGATGGGTTTGGTTGCATAAATGAGCCAAGGAGTGACAGTTATAATGCAGTCTGTTCTACACTGCCTTTTTCTGATTTTCATGAAACAGGGAGGAAGATAGGGATAGAAGATGTCTTCAGCTGCCGCTTCTTTCTTCTTCCAAGCTAATTTTACATTCTTTTTCAAGAAGCAGCATACATGAGCTGCACTGTCTGTACTTCTATATTTGAAATGTTCTTCATGCATCCTAAGTAGGAGAGAGCTAGCATTCTGAAGTAAGAGAGAACTAAGAATTTGGGGTGACAGCTATACTTTAAACATGTGTTTTGTTTAATGCTTTTTTGGTAACGTTTTCCCAGCTTCATAAATGGGAAACTTAGCTTTTGTTTTTCTGGGTGGATTGAGAAGGAGCAGGCGGCTGAGTGTCAGCTCATGCACTGGAGTAGCAACATCATTGCCAATGTTAATGCAAGAGTTATCTGGAAAGATCTGTGATCATGCAGAATTATGAACATCCTAGTTCCATGTTTGCTGGAAATATGGATGTTTCCATCATCCAAGTGATTATTAATGTTTCCTAAAGTTTATTATCCATAGGTCTAAAATATTTATAGAAAAAGTGTTTCAATATAGATACTATTGTGATTCTTCCCAGTGTTGGGAAATTATGCACATAGGTAATTTTCCCAATTACCCTATGTCTAACTCAAAAAACCTCAAAAGCAAACAAACAAAAAAGAGTTGATTCAGTACATGTGAGAATTAGTTAGCTTTCACTGTGATCTTAGGACCAAAACTTAGGATATGTTTTCTTACCAGAATGTTACACAGAAAGTTTATCTGGTATATCTTTTTTTTTTTTTTTTTTTTTTTTTTTTTTTTTTTAATTAATCAGACTGTGGTCTTTTGGAAGCCTTTGTTTAAGTGCAAGAGAAGTGATACCATGGCTCGCTCTCTTCTTCCTGAAAGCTTTGTTGTCGTACTGATCTTTGAGGACTGTGAACTTGGGTCCCAGTAGACACCAGCAGTGCCTTATTAATTCCCATTCCTACAGACCTCACGCTACTTGAATCTCTTTCTGTTCACCTTGTCTAATAATTGAGGCAGAAAGTCTGTCTTACTATAATGTGTGACTCCCAGGAGCTCTGAAAAAAAGTAGATAGAAGATGCCCTAGTCATTAGAATTAGTGCAAGTTTTGGTGGAGTAAAAGACCAGTTCTCAATTGAGTTTAATAAAGTCAAGGTTTTACAGAAAGCATTTAGTATGGGCTGTGGTACATTGTTTCTGCACAAGTTAGCAGGGGTACCTGCCATTTAATTCGCCACCATTTCTGTTTGTCAGTGCTCTGAAATGCCAAGTATGACAAAAATGTTGGAGGGCAATTTCCTTTGCAGTGAAAGGTGTTCATTTATAAGACAGCAGAATCTGACATAGAGTTTGCTGGAAGATAACAGCAACTGATTTAATAACTGCAGTATTTTATTTATATGAACTTGAAGTGACCTGAAACATCACCACCTGTAAAGTGATTAATCTTAATTAGCGTAAAACTTCTTGACTGGAAAAGGTACCTGCACTTCAGAATGATCAGCAAATTCCTGTGTAAATGGTTTTTGTTTTGCATATTAACTCACCATGTAATTTCATCTGTTCTGAGGTGAGTGAATGCTATGTCTTAAGCAAGGAGATGTAATAGACTTTCTTGCAAATCTCATGTTGAGATTCATGTTCTTTACAAGATGCTGTGTATGGTGATTCTGCATAGAAGATTATTATATTGAACTCTTGTACTCTTTAATTTCATATCAGTGTATTCCGGATAGTAGATAGTGCAATGGATTAGCATTTTTTTCGTGGAAAAACTGTTCTAGGTCGCGACATCTTTCTGACAGCAAAAATGGGATCTCTACGATTTTGGGGATAGAGGAGAGATTTACAGAGAAGTATGCTATAATAAGTGAGTAGGCAATTTGCAGAAACTCGTGCAAGATGTTTTTACAGTAAGTTAGATTTGTTTACTGCTGTTGATTGTTTCAATTCCTGTGTTTCAAATATTGTCAAATTATTTTTTTAATAGCAATGGGGCTATGTTTTAACTTTCATGTGTCTGAATTCTAATCTCAATGTAACATTTTAAAGGTGGCGATACATGTGAGTATCTTCTGTCCAGTGGGAGATTTCTTGGAGAAAAAGTATGGCAACCCCACAGTTGTATGATGCATAAGTATAAAAATAGGTAAGGAAACTCATATCTTATGTTCATCTGCCTGGAAAGAAGAGTTATGGTTGTTTGACTGCAGCTGTAATAATTGTAGTGTTGTCTATTTTTCCCTTTATAGCTGATTCTCTAGGCTTTCAAAAATATGCAACGTTTATCAAAAGGAGGTCTTTTCCTTGTACATTATCTGTGTATCTACAGTGTTTACCATAGTTGTGTGTATAGGTAAAAATACAAATAAATGTTGGTGATAGTAGTACTGATACATTATGGACAGCCGCATGATACTGCGAGAGACTGCATAGCTTCACATGTCACACTCAGATTGCTGAAAGAAAAAATGCTGACCTGATGTGTAGAATCGCAAGTAAAAAAATCCCAAATAAAATTACCAATCAGTTTTTCTCACCTACTAGCAAGAGAACTTTATTTTTTAGCATTATGCTGTATATTACCATTTCAAAACTACTGTGTTTGTAGCACCACAGAATAGGAAAGCCTGCTTGGTTGTTTGCGTAATCAAATTACCAGGAGAGTTCATTTTCATTTCCATTCAAATGACACTAAACTTTTTATTAATTCAGCATGTTTAAAAAGATATTTACTATTCCTTAGAGCTGGTTATAATGCTTAGAATTATATATATTGCTTTGTAGATTTTTTGAAGATTTTTTTCCTAAAATACAAATTTCCTGTAACATGAATGTTGCTGTTTTGTTTTACAGTGAAGCAAAAAATTGCCTCATAGACAAACGTATTGTGTTTATAGGAGATTCTAGAATTCGACAGCTGTTCTATTCATTTATAAAACTCATAAATCCTCAAGTCAAAGAAGAAGGAAATAAAGTGAGTTTATTATGATGATGTTTTTGTTTCTTTCTTCCTAATTTACCTCATAACCCTTCTCTAAACTTCAAAAAAGCAAGAAATTATACCATTTGCTGGCCTAGCCATCAAGAAGAAGAACCACAGAAAGGTCTTTTGGAGAAGAACAAAATTAGACCAAGATAGTTGTTTGGGTACAGATGAGATGATTTGGAACCTTCAGAAGTAAACCAGGAGGCTCAAGAGAAAGCTTGCGGCAGTCTGGGAATAAATTAATGAAGCTAACGTGTCCCATAGCAACTTATGCTTCATATTTGGTTTCTTGATGAGAAAATGATTACTCCTTTGTGTGTTTTTAAATAATAGTAATTCATGGCTTATAATTTGTCATTTTAAGTGTCAGATAGATTGCTGATCTAATCTGTTCATAAAAATCCTTGGGGCATTGACAGATTTCCAGGTCTGACTTGAAGCTGAAACTAAAAATAGCTTCTGGTTTTACCTCCCTTTTGATTGCTGCTTAAGAGCTGTCTGAATTTTATAAGGTGATGAATGTAGACTGCAGCTTGCTGGGTGGAAGCAGTAAGAAAGGATTTAGCTGTATCGTTTGTTGAATAGCATATTAATTTCTTTTGCTGTACTATGCTTCTTAGGTATATCCATTCATGGATGTATGTACATACATATGTGAGGGAAGAGACACATTTCACTTTCAACTGTAAATCAGATTGTCAGTTATTTAGTAATCCTGTCATTTAGAAGTGCAGGCTGGTAGCTTGTCCAGCAGACCGCATGCAGTCATATTCACTTGGTCAAAACAAGATGTGTGATTGGTCGACTAACTGGTTTTCCTAGTCTGTTGGTTACGGTCACTTTTGCTGCCCAAAGGTGATGGTGAGATGATAGAGTGCCAAACTTGATTCTGAGGCGAGATGTATTTTTTGTCAATACTTACGAAATCAAGATCTCTGTTTGTGGAAGTGAAATACACTTGTTCTTTTGGACCAGGATTGAAACTAATATTTAGTAATATTTTAAAGAAGGATTGTGTTTGCAGTATCTGACTGCTTCCTTTCTCATTTCTTACAGTCTCACTCAGCAAATTTAATAATGCATTCCAGACTTTATTTCTGCCTGAGATTATTTTCTTTTATTCTTTAATTAAAACTACGTCAGTTGTTTTGTGCAAAAATGGGCAGATGAAAAGGAAGGCTAGGTGAAAGGAAATGTAAGGAAAAAAAAGAGAAAAAAGTAAGCTTTTCTCATTTTGGGAGGCTAAATTTAGGAAAATATTTTATACCTTTGTAACAGTGAACATAAAGCATTTCAGACTTTGTTAGATAGATTTCTTCCAGGAAAAATAACCCTTTATGTGGGTAGCTTGTTTTATCAAGAAAGTAACATAACCATTTCGCATGAGCATACTGACAAGTTTATACAAGAAAAATCCTTTCTACTGAAGGTAAACCTTTGGGTGAGAGCGAATTAAAACATGAATGTAAATTTTTTTTTTTTTTTTTTCATTCTGAAAGTTTGTCTTACTTTGGTTTTATTGTTTTGGGTTTTTTGACAGCATGGAAATATCCTGTTTGAAGATAAATCTGCTTCAATTAAAGTGGTAAGTTTTTATCTAGCATTAAATTGCAAGCCATAATCGTATTATTTCATACAGTGTAATCCCAATTGCAACCAGAGCTGGATTTTTGAAATTTCCACGAGTACTATAAAAGTCAAAAGAAGCTTTAGACTATCAACATTCATTGTAAATTTTCCACAAAACAAATCAGAGTTTATCTTAACATATTATATTTTGAATAAGATTCTTTGAAAGACTTTGGGTTTGAGTACTTGTGTTCCGTGTTAGCTTTGGGCATGAACTCTGGAAGCATGTATAATTTTTTTTTTTTTGTCAGATCTTATAATTTGGCCTTCCAAGAATAGCTTTTGCCAGGAAGTTTACTCTTCCATAGCTGTAAGAATATCTATCTGGGGCTAACTTACTTGGAGTGGTAATTGTCATAATTGCCATTGAGCTGTCTATGCTATCCCAACAAGTATTCATTCCACTGTTTTTGCATGGAGAAATAACCACAGTGTTGATTATAATGTGGATATTTCAAAAAAAGAAAACAAAGTACTCGAGTGTAGGTTTTATGAAGGACTCTGTTCTCCTCACTCTGGCAATGGAAATGGTGTCCTCAATAGCTTGCTTTGCTTCCTATGACAGCTGTCAGCAGCGCTGGGATTCTGTTAGTCATGTATTTGTTTATGCCCTGGAGACAACTCATCCTCTATTCATGAAAACCAAAGAAGCAGTGTATTTGCTGAGTTGTCTGCAAGTGAGTTTTCAGTGTGTGTTTGTGTACATTGAAGATTCAGGGTACAGAATAGCATTTTAGGGTGTGAGCCTTAACTTAAGCATATGCTGTTCCACTCTTTTGCCCTCCACAGTATGTTGCTGTGTTTCTGCTGTAACTACCCTGGTAGAGCAGTGAAGTGGGCTGTTTTAGGAGTCAGTTCAGCTGAAAACTTACCTTGTCGGATTCCTTTTTGGTCAGGTCTGATGTGGCTCATCATATGGTTATCTGAGTGGTAGAAAAGAGGGGGCAGAACACAGGGCAGGACAAAGGGACTGATGCAATGTGATTTATGTTGGTGTAGCCTGCAGACACAGAACTACATCTTCAAAACTCCCTAAGCCTTGGTAGGTGTCTAACTACCAAGATTTGAGATGGCAGGTTTGGACTTTTGGGAGATGCCTGTGTAGTTAAGAATGTATTTCTAGTCTGCTGCTTCCTTGTGTTGGTGCCATATTGCTGTTTACATTATTGGCATGATAGTTGACTTTTCACATTAAGAATGGGTGTGACCCAGTAATCTAAACGTGGAAAGTACTTGACCAACAAAAGAGAAAATCACTGGAAACAAGTAGAGAGTTTAATTTTGCTCTTTCTAGTCATCTTACTGACCCTTCTGTTCTTCAGCCACTGCAGAGGGCTGCATGATCACAGGTTACAGATTCCTGCCAAATAGTGAGTTGACCGTACTCAGGCGAACTACCAAAATCTTTAGGTTCTGTGCAAGTGGAAGATAGAGATTTCTTCTCTGCTGGTAGTGTTTCTGCGTTCTGCTTTATAAAGTTGCCTCACAATAGTTTCTGCAATTGTAATGCCTGCCATTTCACTTTCATAAGTATTTGTTGGCCATTTGATAGTTCTGCACCTGAGGGGTAACTAGATGCTAGGAAGTCACGGCTTTACCTGAGAGACATAATAGCACTAGCCAGAGTCTAGACTGTCCTTCTTGATGAAGGTTGGGCACTACTTCTGACATCTAAAAAAATGTCAGTAGGTAATGCATTTAATGGCCATGGCACTGTCAGATTTAAACAGTTGATAATTTATGAAGTTGTAAATTGTTTGGTTTTCTTTTTGTTTTAAAATTACGATTTCATGCTATCAAATATATTAAGTTCTGGAAAAAAAGAAAACCTGTTGGTAAAAACTGTGGGAAATTGAGCAAAAAGAAAGTTCATATAAATAAGTTATAGATGTGAGCATGGTTTTATCCCTGTTTGCATTGGAAACCTAAGAACATCCAATTTGACAGAAGCTAAAAAATTACCTTCTTGGTGAAATCCCAGCTCCTGAACTACACATGAAAATTTCTTCCTTTTTTCATGGGGTCAAAGTTTTGTGGGTTGGGGTTTTTTTCCCCATTTTTTTTTCTTTTCTGTTTTCCATGCTACAGTGAGATGTCAGGCTTTTCATGCTAACTATAAAGGAAATCTCACTTTGGGCTGAGTGTTTTTCCATTACAGTTGATTTGATGGCAATTAGTTTGCTTTTTTGAATTTCTGTTATTAGTCTACTGGTTGTCTTTAAGCTTACAGAGTCAATCTGCATTTATTTTACAGGATTTCCTGTGGTATCCAGAAGTTAATGGTTCTATGAGGCAACGTATCAAATCTTGGACTGAGGTTTGTTTTAAGAAGATGTTTATTTTAGGAAAATATAGCAACTGGACTGAGAACTACTACCTTTCTTGTTTTTTCATACACACAACTATAATTACTAGGAACCCAGCAACTGCAGTATATCACACAGATTAATTAAGTTGTGTACCAGAGATGTGGAATTTTGACATCAAAATAGTGAAAGGAGGATGTTTACTGGTCTATATGTTTCCAAGCATCTCCTGGTCTCCCAAGGATGGCTTCACTTGGGCCAAAAAACCCTCAATCCAGAAAAATCGTACTCCTAGGAGCAGGTTGATTCATCCTATTAAGAGCTGAAAGGATTTTACTCTGGTTTGGCATTTTGCTTCCTCTTGTCTGCAATGGCTGTGCTTCTATGTGACCAAATATTTTTGATCCTTATGGGTCCGTTCCAACTCAAGATATTATATGATTCTCTGATTTTATATTTATTTTGAGTGTTCCAAACTGAAGGACAAAGGCAATTTGGAAAGTCAAGAATGCCTTGATTATTACTTTTTTTTTTTTTCAAAATTTCCCTCAAATTGCATTTGGATTATTTAACAAGTTTCATTTATGATACAAGTTGTCACATTATTCAGCATAAAATCATGTATGTAATTCTGATGAGTAACATGGTTACAGATTGGCAACTAAATTTTTCTTGTTTCTTCCTTTGTTGACCTTTAAATAGCCTGGAGTTATTTAATAATGGCTCCCAGTGATTCTTTTGCTACTCTATTGGTCATTCTTGCTCAACACCTTCCATCAAGATATCAGAATTTATAATTAGTTTTTCTTTTTCTGTGATTACTACAAAAAAATTGAGAGTTGCTTAACCCTTGCAGTGCCATGGCAAAACTCCTACCAAGGTATTTGTTTCCTTGTACTCTTCTGTTTGAGTACATATTCTATTCCTTGTCGTAGACATAACTTTCAGACCTCTGGGGCAACAACCATTTGTTCTGGTTTTGCATTGTGTTTATGATCACTTCAGTTAGTACAACAACTCAAACAGATGTTTGACAGTGCTGAGAGGCACTGAGAGAAAAAGCACTTCAGCAGTACGATCCACAGTTTACTTGATGGTAGAAGATGTTTAGATAGCTTTTAAAGAGAACTTATGCTGCTAAATTGATAATGATTTTTTGCACTTTTGCAGATTCTGTTATGTGAAAATTCTGGTATATCACAAGTTTATATTCTCTGTAATATATCTGCACCCTATTCTTTTGTAATAGTGAACTGAGGGACAAGTTGAGTCACAGTTAATTAAGATATTAGTATTAATTAACCTGCTCACTATAGTAATAAGAATAATTTGTTAATATTTTAAAACTTAATTCCTTTTTACTTTGCGTCTTAGGGTTCTGTTGCAAAACCTCATATAATTGTAGCTGGAGCTGCCACGGTAAGTTACATGTATATGGGGCATTTTAGTAAAGAAGGAAGTTCTAGTAGGATAACTTCCATGCTCTCAAGTTAGTTACATGATGAAGTTGTTAAAACCAATTTATAATAAAAAATATACTCTCAGTGAATTTGCTGTTATAACAAGTAGTTCTAAAATATCTAGTATATTTTATTGTAGCTTTGCAATGAACAGTACTTGTTTTTTGGCAGCAATACTTGTTGATAAATATTGATTAGCTTGAATCTAGCTAATAAAGTAGCTTTGTTAAAAGCAGATTATTCATTAAAAAAATTAAATGAAAGTACTTCCATACTAACTGAGATGCATTTTTAATAAACTCTATTCAGTTACAAAATACTGCTTTTGAGCATGGCCCAATTCAGAGTGCTCTTTTTGAAGGCACAGATTTCTTTTAGACTTATATGGGCAAACCCCTGAATTTTACATGAATAATTCAACAACCAAAGAGATTCCATTTATTGAATCTTGTTCCACTGGAAGTTTCCACCACTACTCTGTGCTGCAGCATCAAAGAAAACAGAGCTGACAAGGACCTGAAGAGGTCACCTAACCCATCAGTTTGCCATGAGGCAGGATCAGTTATACCTCTGGTGAACTTGACAAGAGTCAACCAATTCTTTAAAACTCCCAAGGTTGGTTGGAATTCAACCGCCCTCCCTAAGTAGTCTGTTCCAGTACTTGTCTGGTACTGGGAATCAAGAGTTGAACAACTGCTCATCTCATTAATTCCACATTTCATGTCCCTTACTTCCAAATATTTTGGAAGTGGAATTTGACAGGAACTAGTTACTATAATTTTACACCAGCTCAAATGTAGAGGAGGGGGAAGATGTGTTCCATTTTAAACAAAATCCTTTGAAAGCAGTTTGGTTTAGAGACAGTTCAGGCATTCTACCAGTCTGGAAGCTCCTGGGCATGCCAATCTAGGGTGAATTCACCCAGTTTTAGAGGAAGGTCCTATGTGTGTACAGACCTCCACACATTGCCTGAGGGATGATAAATTCTGTTTCCTTATAGACAAACCCCCTCAGTTCTCTTTCTCTGTAGAATCCACATAAATATTTGAGCTTTAGGAATCGTGGTAAGCCTAGAATATCTCTACTCAGTCTGAGAATTTAGCACATCTTACTAGCGTGAATCACAGTATTTCGCACAGAAAATGCCATTATATATCGATAGTGCTCTGTCATGCAGAAGGTCAGGTTGCAAAACTACAGCACTCTTAGCTAAATAATTCCTTTTACTCATATATATACGTTAGCCATACCTGCTTGCCTTTTGTGGACAGCAGAAGATATGAACCAACAATATGCATGTGATGTTCAGCTCTTCATAACACCAATATATTTACACAAAACATTAATAGTGATAACTAGAGCTGGCCAAAGATAAACATCCCCTATTTTGAGGGACTTGAAGAAAAATAAATTGCTTCAAAAATCTTGATGCATCGGCAATATTACCATGGCTAGCACTAGTGTAGAAACCTGCTACTGGATTGAACTGGTGAGTGCCCTTGGACTTGTCAGTATTTTGAAACTTACCTGTATCTTTAATTTAGCTCTGGGTTTGGTCATGCTACTTTGGTCTGGACATGTCTGTCTTAAGATGTTGACTGCATAACCGTTTATAAATAGAAGTCTTACAAGCTGGAGAAGCTCCAGCTATTACTAAACTCAGTTGCTTGCTTATTTTGGGAAAAGGAGATGCACTGAGAATGTCACTACAGTGCTGTGCTGCTTAGTTCCTGACTTCCTGTTGAATAGAATATGCTTCTTAAAACGTCTGTTTAATAACTGTGGGTATTTCATGAGTAAAGATTTAGCTACTGGGAGAAACTGCTTTTTTTCCTCAGAGTGTGAGTTCTCAGAGCAGCAGCTGCATGTTTTTTGGTTTCATGAGGTATTCATTTATATTTGATAATATTATCAGGAAGTGGATTAATCAGTGTACTTGGCTTACATCAAAATTTTTATGTAGGTATTTAGAAATAACTAGAGAGTTCACTACGTTCAGACTAAATTTATATTTTTTTTTTTACAGATTTTGACTAAATCATTATAGATACAGTAATGCCTTAAATAAATGCTAAATCTATTTTTCCTACAGTGTGGGAAATCCTTTTCAGAAGTTAAGAGAAATTCTTGGGTGGCTTTAGAGTCATAGAATTAGAATCACAGAATAGTTTGGGTTGGAAGGGACCTTTAAACATCATCTAGTCCAACCCCCCTGCCATGACCAGGGACATCTTCAGCTAGATCAGGTTTTTCAGAGCCCTGTCCAACCTGGCCTTGACTGTTGCCAGGGGTGGGGCATCCACCACCTCCCTGGGCAACCTGTTCCAGTGGTTTACCACCCTCATCATAAAAAATTTCTTCCTTATATCTAGTCTAAATCTACTTTTAGTCTCTTTCAGTCTAAAACCATTACCCCTTGTCCTGTTGCAACAGGCCCTGCTATAGCATTCTCCCAATCATTTAATGTAGAAGATTAAATCAGAAATTAAAACGGCTCTTTTTCTTTTCTTTTTTTTTTTTTTTTTTTTGTCTTTGTGGATATCTGCAAAACAGATGGAAATAGTGGAACTCGATACCACCATCAAGTTTTGTTTGCATGCATCTCTTGCTGTGGTCAGTTTTCCTACAGTAAAATCGACCAAATTGGCCATGATTTTTATATAATGGGACTGGCTTTGTTACTTCATCATCGTTCAAAGTCAAGGGGCTTTTAATTAAAACACCTTGCACATTTAAATTATGAAAAATCAAATATACGTTAAGTTGAATATTATTTACTCCACATTTCAGTGATCTGTTTGAATGTAATTATCTGTCTAGACAGCTGCTTAGTCTAAAAGGAATTTTTTAGCACTTTAAAAGAGAAGACCAAAGAAATAATGTAGTTTTCTAGAAATAATGAAAAATAGCTACTAACAGAGCAATGGAATCAAGTAAGGGTCCTCAAGACACACAGGTGCTGAATCTCTTTCTTTATTTCTCCAGTGGTCTATCAAGATCCACAATGGCAGCAATGAAGCCCTCACACAATATAAAATCAATATCACTTCAATTGCACCTCTTTTGGAAAAATTAGCAAAAAGTAGTGATGTTTACTGGGTCTTACAAGGTAAAGTAATGAACAGTAGGTAACAATTTGTATTGTCACTGTCTGTTGCATCATTGTCTTGTAGGATATGGAAAAACTAGTACATACTGTGTACTTGCAGAGTAAAAAGGGTGTTGGTTGAATTCCAATCTGGCCTTTCTTCCAGCCTTAACTAGCTGGTACCTAACTAGCTGTTACTAGTGATGGAGATTTTAAAGCGCTCTCAGGAAAATCTTTTGCCTTCTGAACTTTTCATTCTTTGTTAGCTTACTCTCGGACTCAGTAGACCAGGTCTGTTCTCGCTGTGCTGTGCTCTGTATGTGCCTCCTGGGAGTCGAGAACACAAATGCATAAAACAGCTGTATTCCTGTTTGTGTTCTATTAAATTTTCAGATTTTGTACACAATAGGAGAGGTTCAACAAGTGCATCCTCTGCGTGTGTCTGGAATGAATACTCATACTCTATAGAGAATTTCAGTCTCTAGAATGAAACTTGCTTCTGTACACTAAGCACTGATGAGTTAGAATTAGGAGCCAGAAATCATGGTTCCCAATGAGACTGTGAGATTTTTATTATGGCACCACGCTTACATGCTTTTGTTTTTCTTTAATAAACCTAAAGTATGTCCCTGACACTGAACAATGAACTCATAGGTGGAATGTGCTCCTGGTTTATCTGCCACAGAACATAATGTTTTAGATTATCAACACCTCAGTCAGAAACTTGGGCGGATTTGGAGCTCTGGTTGGAATATACCCAGCGGTACTCTTACAATCACATCCAAGTTCCTATCAAAGATGGTTATAGAGGTTAACCTGAATCAACAGATTAATCTTCTCGCGTTCCTTTCATAAACCATGTTTATAATAGAAGCAATTAGCTGTCAGACATGTCCTGTCATTCTGCTGATAAAGATCCTGTCCTTTTAAGTCATCTCTGAGCTCTTTAATGGAACAAATAAGAGGAGAAGCAGTCTGTGCACACAGAGTTGTCTAGCCATTGATCATCCAAAAGTATGTGTGAGGTAGCTGAAGAAAATCAGTTTACAGCTTATAGAGTATGTTTCACCAGTTACCGACATCAGCAGCTTTTCATGGCAATGTACTGATCTCCAGCTGACGTTTTGATCGAGAACCCCATATAGCTCTGTGTTAAGCTCCACAAAATTTCTGAAGCCTGCAGGCAATTAAGTGGCGTTCCGTTCTTCTGAAAACCTGAGATTCTCCCATCAGTTAAACTGGAATCAACAGAAGCAAATGTAACATCCTTATGGACTGACTTAGAGAAATTAGAAGCTGGTTTCTTCTACAGTGACTAGAGGGTTTGGGAGATTTTAAGGGTTTTTTCCACGTTTCTGTTCTGCCTGTCTTCTGTCTCTTGGTTTTGGAGTCTTTCCTTGGGGGATTTAATTACTGAGAGACGGCATAAGCAGCTCTGTACTCCAGCATTATATGCTTTTCATGGGTTTAGGCAATTAAACAGGCATTCATGTCTGGCCAAAGCTTTCTAATCTACAAGTATATATGCATGACTAGGGAATGGCGATAAAAACATTTCATCACGAACAGCTCTAGTCACTACTCTAGTTACTGTAACAGTCACTCATTCCTCGCTGTATTTTTTTTTTCTGTACCATTATACAGTTGTGACTACCTAAATGAAAGTAGCTTGTGCAGCTTGAGCTAAGCAAATATATTGGTCAAGTAGAAGATTAATGTGCTGGTTCTTTGTCCTTTCAAATTCAGATCCTGTTTATGAAGATATGCTGAGTGAAAGTCGGAAAATGATCACTAATGAGAAAATAGATGCTTATAATGAAGCAGCTGTTCGTATTCTGAACAGCAGTTCCCGAAATTCCAAAGCTAAAGTTAAAGTGTTCAGTGTATCAAAATTGATAGCACAAGAAACTATCATGAAGTCTGCAGATGGCCTGCATCTCCCTGAATCAAGCAGAGATACAGTAAGTGTTTTTATCACTGGTCAACATTAAAAAGTAATAATAATAAAAGAAGATTTTAAGTGAATGTTCTGAAATGGCAGACAATATGAACGTAACGATGACATGCACATTCTTCAGGAAGCTTTGTTCAGAAGATCCCAATAGGTGGGAGGGCAGTTAGTTATACAGAATGTTTAAAATCGCAAACACATTAGTGTGTAGCTATTTTAAAATAGCTGTTGAGCCACTAGAGCTTTTAGATCCTGAGTGCAAACTTCGTGCCTTCATCTGCTCGAATGAGTTAGGGTGATAATGATTTGTAAAGCAGCGCAAAGAAAAAAGTCTTGAATTTTCCCCTATGTGCCCATATAATTTTGTTTAGTAAGGAGTATGAAAAGGATAAGAAAGCACAGAATATACACCTTCCTGGTTGCATGGAGTGCCACTGATTTTATTTCTTATTTTACCTTTAACCTACCACTATATATACACACGCATGCAGTGAGCCCCTCTGGGCTTTGTCAGTCTGCCCTTCTTGTGAAAGAGCTCTCCTGCCATGTCAGTTGTAGTTTCATGCTTTTGCAGGTTTCAGTTGCTTTCAAGTACTGGATGGACAAAATATCATCTCACCACAGGCTTCAGTCTCATTGTCATGTTTCAGAGACTGATGACTGTGCCCCTTTAGGACCCAAATTTGTGAGCTGGTTTTTGTTTATAGTCCATTTAGCTCTCTATAGATCCTTTTACAGCCGGTAGAGAGAACCTTTCTGTTGTAAGGATTAGGATTAGGTCTTTTTGCTTACCTTAAGAAGCTCAGGGGTTTCCTGTTTGGAAGAGATGTTTTAACTGTACTGTTGAATGCAGCTAGGTGTGTGGGGCTACTGTGAAATTTTATTTATGTAATGATATGGGAGAATTGCATGTTTTAGGTTAATACATGATCTAGAAGAAACTTTCTTCTGATTAAAATGTTAATTTTTTTTACTAGAGATTAACTGACAAAACTGCTTATTTCTTCGACAGAATGCGATGATTCTTATGAACGTCTACTGCAATAAGATAATGAAGCCCATTGATGGCTCCTGCTGCCAGCCTCAGCCTCCTCTCACTCTGATACAGAAGTTAGCTTTCTGTTTCTTTACCTTGTCCATTATTGGATATTTAATTATCAATTTAATTAATCGGAATAATTATCGGAAGAACAAATCATGCACTGATTTGGAAAGTGGAGAGGAGAAGAAACCTGCCATCAGCACTCCTAATGGTTCTACTTTGGAGATGCTCTTACACTCCTTCTGCAAACTTGGTCTAATCATGACCTATTTTTATCTGTGTGACAGAGCAAATCTTTTCATGAAGGAAAATAAATTTTATACACATTCATCTTTCTTCATACCAATCGTCTATATCTTGGTTTTGGGGGTATTTTATACCGAAAATACCAAAGAGGTAATGATCATGTTGATATCCTGCTTATAATGTTGTTTCCCAGTTTGAGTGTAAATCACTAATTGCTAAATATTGAAAGTTAAATTTTCGAAGTCGGTATAACCCAACTGCAAAAAATGCACTTACAAGCACTGTAACGTTTGCCTGGAATTGGATGCAAAAGCATTTTTAAAGCATTTGAGTGCCTTTAGCCATTGTCACTCAGTCAGATTGGAAGTGAGCATAGCTTGGATACAAGAGAGCGTAGATGCCATTAAAATCTGGTATACCTGTGTCCACTAGGCAGAAGGCTTTTACAGTTGATACCTATTTATCCCTAAAGTGGTTTATTGTTTTGAACTTTTTCTCCTCATTTTGTAGATGTTCGTTGTACTTTTTGGAATAGCAACACTCTTGTTTTGTTTTGCATTAGACTAAAGTGTTAAATAGAGAACAGACTGATGAATGGAAGGGCTGGATGCAACTTGTAATTTTGATTTATCATATCTCTGGAGCAAGCACTGTAAGTGATTTGAATTACTTTTTTTTTTTTTAAGTGGGAATGCTATTTGGGTATGTCTCTTCAAAAGAAAGATAGTGCAAATGTGTATTACAATTGAATAGAATGAATAACTAACGCTATTTTTCCTATAGTTTTAAAAATGGTATTAGCAGAATTAGTTTTCCTCTCTATTTAAGTGTAGATTTAATTGATAGGAGCATTTTATGCATTACTTAACCAGTGAAAAAATCTACTTGTTTCGTCTGCATAGAATACCATGTTAATTTATTTTTAAGTGCTAGCAACACTTCTTTTTTATGTTCTGAACTTGAAACTGCTGAAGATAAGCTTGCACAGAGCCCTTCTTAACTCTCTGTTAACTGGTAATAGAATATGGAAAGTGTAGGGCAATGAATAGAAGAAGTTAATTTTAACATCAGAGAGGTTAGGGCACCAAAAGAGCTTCGTAAGTAACAGGGATATGTAGCATAATGGTTCTTTTCTTAATTAAACCTGATTTATTGCAGTGCGGGAAAATCATAAAATGGGGGGGAAAAAGGAAAGCCAAAAGCATTTACGTGGCCATTTATAAAAGGTACTTTATTTTTCTCAACAGTTTTTGCCAGTGTACATGCACATTCGAGTTCTGGTTGCTGCATATCTGTTCCAAACAGGTTATGGGCACTTCTCATATTTTTGGATAAAAGGGGACTTTGGTGTATACAGAGTGTGTCAGGTAAGAATATCTTCTTACTCTCCTTATAAAGAAGTCTGTTCAGATAACAAAATATCCATGATACATCCGTACTCTTTAATTAACGTGATATGTGATGACTTAACCAAGGTTTGCACATTAAAAATGGCTCTTGTTTCTGTGTAATCTGACCTGTTTAATTGGTAGGGTTTATCTAATACAGCCATGTAGCGTGTAAACGATATGTACAATGTAAAAAATGTAAATATGTAGGCTTTAAACTATCAAGACAAATATTCTCCAATATATAGTAATGGACTTTTCATTGCAGTAGCCATTTACAATATATAGCAATATATATGTAAAGACGGTGGTTCGAAGCCTAGATTTGTTAATAAAGAAAATGAATTTTCACACCCTAACAATACTGGAGAACATACCTATTTTTGCGGTTTCCCTCCCAGGTTTTGCAGTGTGTGCTGTAGCAGTTTAAAAATTTTTTAAAATACATCTTTCATTACTGTTAAGTGTTACATTGTCATGTAACTCGAGTCATCGTGCTTACTAAACGTATGTCTGCGGCCTACTTGCAGCACGGGTCACGGCATTGCCCTAGCTTTGTCTGAGCTGGCCCAGGTGGTTCAGGGAGTGAAAGCAGAGGGGCACCAACAGCATCCTGCAACTGGAATACTCGCTCCCCAGCCTGGGGAATAGTCGGTTCTGGTTTACCCTGTTTTCACTGCTATGTCTACCCAAGTAGGCCAGTGTGGGACAGGTCCAGTGCTACATAATCAGCCTGCAGTCTTATATTGCTTTGTTGGTGTTCCTTGAGATACTTTTTCTATGTTGCAGCTGAAATATAATCAGCGTGCAAGATGTAAAATATGTAGATATTTTTGTATAGTGCTAAAGAAACATGTCCCCCATCTCTCTGAGCTTTGCCTCCCAGTTTATATATCCTCTGTCTTGTCTCCTCTGACACCCTCCAGGTTTTATTTCGTCTCAATTTCTTGGTTGTGGTACTGTGTGTAGTGATGGACCGACCTTACCAGTTCTACTACTTTGTGCCATTAGTCACTGTCTGGTTTATGATCATTTATGCCACCTTAGCTATATGGCCTCAGATTGTCCAGAAGAAAGCAAATGGTAAGATTTTTTTTTTTTTCTTTCTGCTAGAAAACATTTGCATGTTAATACTGTGATAACCATACTGAAAATGGGACCATTAGTAGACCTCAGTCTCTTTGTAACATAGTCAAAATATGTTAAACAGTTGTTCACAGAAATACAGTCTGGCATAGATGAGTTCTGTGTCACTTGAAAACTGTAACAGCTGAACTAAACTGTCTCTGGTTACAGTTATGTTAGAATACTTTCTGATAGGTTTTGACCATCAGAAATGTGTTTTATCAAGAGTTGCAATATTACCGAGTGCAAACTAAAACCAGAGGTTGCACTGTCTATGCTAGCTGAGGTTGTTGCTGTAGTGTTGCTGTAGGGTATGGCGTGAACAGCCAGCATTTAGAGTTTCCCATTCTCCGTTGCTAATGTCTCATCTGTCTTAAGCATCAATTCTGCCATATCCTGCCAAATAAGAACGTGGGGTTTGTTGTTTTAGTATCTTAGATTAAGTGAACTCTCAGAAGTCTTGTGATACAGATATTTTAAATAAAAACTGAAGTGAAATCCCAGTTTATTTTATGCATCGCAGTTCACTGAAAAGCTGTCGTCATGTGGTAAATCCTTATTATTTAATTAAACTAAATTAGAACTAAAGCCTTAAAAGTCCTAGATCCGTCTTCCCTGTTGATGGAGTAATATCCAAATTTTATAGTCTGCAGATATGACAATGAAATATACCAAATGCATGCTAGGAATAGATGCTGCAAAAATACAATTAGAGAGTAGTTTTAGAAGATATCTTGAAGGCAAATAGCTCCAGTATTTTTTTTTTTTTTTCCCCCTACAAAAGCACTTCTGTTCCAGATACAGAGAAATTGCCATTGTGTACTTTGGAGCAGTAGTATACTGTGAAACTAGAAGATCTTTCAATGACAACTCTCACTTGTTTATGTCCCTGTTTACAGGGGACAATGTCCAATTTATATGGCAAGAGAGGAAGATGATCTCTGTTGCAATGTTGAGGCTTGGGTAGAGCTTAGTACCAGTCGACAGCTTTGAGGAGCAGTTTCTTAGACTTTCTTAAGATACTTGTTCTTAATTACCTGCAGTTGGGCTTTAGAGTACAACTGGTACCTCAAAGTTTAATAATATATGCTCTACTTATTTCACATGACAAAAGCTGTTGGGAATTTTGTCTTATGTATTTACATTCACCTAGAATAAGGACTGACTGCCTGTGCAGAGCATTTGGGAAAGCAGAGGCTTTAAAATAGTGTTTTTCTTTGAACACCTAAATTCTCTTCTTTCTGTATGTAGGTTGTCCTTGCTTTAGACATTAGCCTTAATTTAGGATTAATAGGTTGTTAGTTGCAGTGAATGTCTATTTTAAGTGCTTAAAGTAAAATTTAATATGCAAATATAGTGATAAAGTATCGCTGGTGATATTTGAACATTTATTTAGGAATGTATCTATTACTAAGCATAGCTACACTAAATAATTGGCAGTTATTATTTAATGTGTCCTGGGTTTTGCTATTGAAAAATTGATGACTGTATATGGATTTTTTTTTTTTTTTTTTTTTTCCCCTCAGGGAACTGCTTATGGCACTTTGGTTTACTGTTGAAACTGATTTGCTTACTGACATGTATATATTTTCTGTCATATTCTCAGGTTTGTAAGTTTTTTACTATTTTTATCCTTAGTGACCTAAGAACATATAACCTATCTTTACTTTTTAATGTGCTCATAACTTTTGTATTTGCTCCTATATCATAAATACAGAAGAAAAAAAATGGAACCTTTGAGTTGTTTTTTTCATATTTGAATTGGTGTGGATGCTGGAAAAAATATTGTTCTGTACCTTACTCGTTTGTAATGATTGACATGTTTTCAGTGTACTACTACAAATGTAATAAATACAAAGGCTCATGCTTTAGGTTTGCGGGGGGGAGGGGTGTTTGTGGTGCACTTAAAGTTACTGTTTTTTGCGAGCGTATGATGATACGTGGGGTGTATGGGGATATGAAGATCTGTGTCTCTTAGAGACCTGGTGTTGGCTTTGATACTTTATCAAAAGACTGGTTCATGCTAAGTTAGTGACTTACTGCATGCTGTAAGTATAGCTGACAGAAATAAGAGCAGAGTTTGTCACTGTAGGATTTTATGGGGGTTTTAAGCCTGTTAACTGTAGTCTTCTGTAGAGTATACATTCATTATCCCAACACATCAGTGGGTCTCTGCCTTTAAGCCTTCAGTACCAAATGGAAGGCATGCCAATGCCTTCATGGGAAGTAAAACTGAAACCCTCTCTCAGCTGAGAAAGTATTCTTTCATTTTTTTTTTTTTTTAATTTTGAGGCCAGAGTGGGGAGTGACTTCTAAGGAAGCCTGTTATTTTGGTAATGCTATGTAGCTAGTGAAATGGGGATGTGATAATATTAAAAGACAGTTTATTGGTTTAAATTCAGTAAATATGGTTGACATCAGTGTTAATGCATTTGCCATGTTTATTCTTTACAGGGTGCATTTGAGAAGATATTTTCTTTTTGGCCACTGTCCAAGTGTTTTGAACTGAATGGGAATGTCTATGAATGGTGGTTTAGGTGGAAGTTGGATCGCTACGTATGTAACATGTTCATAAATCTACACTGGTCTTTTTAAGTGTGTTTTAATTTGGAGGGGAGGGAGGGTTGCTTTCCTTCAGAGAAAGCAGGAGTTTGTCCCAGTGGATTATTTAATAAAAGACTTAAGCTGCACCCACCTTACTTCTGCAAATGTCTGTCAAAGCCTTGCTTGAAAGATGGATGTTGATTTATGTGCTGCTAGATCCTGCTTAGTTTGCTTTTAAAAAATAAGGTCATAAAGTGACCTAGATTTGTCTCTTCTTCAAGATTGTACTGTGAAAATTTAACACCTGTAGCACTGCAGGCTATTGAAATGCAAGGCAAATTATTGTGGTGGCTTTCTTAATAATATTTTTTGAAAGCTGTATCAATTAAGGGATACATTTCTTTTAAGGTAACCTTCAAAACACATTTCAAATCAGGGTCTTGATCCCCAAACCAGACTATTCTTGCACATATTTTTAAATACTTTTGCAGTGGGACAGTGCTTTCTTCCCAGTTACTGACCCTGCAAGGGGGGGGAATAGCCGCAGCGCGCGCTGCGTTGCGACATTTATTTCAGACTTGGGGCTTTGTTCCTCGTGAACAGTGTGTATTCTGTAACGCCGCTAAAGAGGGAATCCCAAAATAAATACAGAGGACAAGCACCACATGGGCCTGAAACAGCATTGTGTTGCTAGCTAATGAGAATTTGGCACAAGATCATGAAACACTCTGCTGGAGAGCTGTGCCTGGGAGAGAGGGAAGCACTTGTGGTGCTTCTTGAATGTTTTCACCTGCCAGCTTGGGGGAAGGGCAGAGACTCCTGTTTTTTCATCAGAGAAAGCCCTCTTCAGTGCTGGCGTAGATGGCAGAGGGGATAGTAGGTACTTGAAAGCTGCTTGAAATTTCATTGTCATGTCTTTAATGCTCTGTGAAGCATTAGTAAATGTACTTTATTTGTAGTTTTTGAGTTGAGTTAAAAATGCAGCTTATGACAACCTAGTGTAGGCGGCCTATTTTTGATTGCTTCAGTAAATCTGGGAAAGGACTTCTTGACACCTAAGCTTTCGTATTACAAATAGTTTATCCAGTAGCATTTCTGCTAAGTTTGTACCTGAAGGACTTGTAAAAGCCATGAAATATTCATTGCATTCTGTTTGTCTTTTACAGGTGGTTTTTCATGGGATGCTGTTTGCTTTTATTTATCTGGCATTGCAGAAACGTCAGATGATATCAGAAGGAAAGGGGGATCCTCTTTTCTCCAGCAGAGTTTCAAATGCTCTATTATTTATTTCAGTTGCATCTTTTCTGGTACGTACCTGGTATAACTAGTATAATCAGGTTTGTAAATCTCTAAAGAATAACTTTCCTGAAGTTCTTGTTTAGAAAATACATTGATTTAAAAAATCAAACCTTGATCCGGAGACATTTCAGCTGTGTTTTTGTGCACAGCCCTACCTATCTAATATTTTTTCTTTCAGTCAACTGTAGATGAAAACATCAGCACTCTTTCAATTCATTGCAAATGTTACAAGATAATTGGATCATAAAAATACTATGGTAGACAATGCAGCTCTTACCTCCACTCTTGATTGCTTGTCTATTTGTGATGAAAAAATTGTCAACAGTACGCCTGCATCTTAGGGTATGAATAAGTATGGCATTCATCAGCTGCAAAGAAGAATTTGAGAGAAACACAAAACTAAGCACAGTAGTTTTTCCTATTACTGTCCCACATCTTAGTGAACCCACTACTGCTGAAGCACTTGAAAATAGCTTACCTCTTGTTTAATTTTTAAATGTTGTGTATAATTGCTACACAGACGGATTTTTATATCTTTTAGACCTACTCTATTTGGGCTAGTAGCTGTAAAAACAAGACAGAGTGCAATGAACTACATCCTTCTGTTTCTGTGGTGCAGGTAATTATAATTATAGTCCTTTTCCTTACAGTGATAGAATCTAGTCTGATCTTGTTTGGGCTTTTTAAAAAAGGGGTTTTAAATGTATTTTTGCGTTAGCATGGAATGTCAGATATTGAGCTTCATTCTCATGTCTGAAAGTAAGAAGGGATTTAACTATACTGCTTGCTCTTTGTCATTGCCTTTAAGCACTGAAATTGCATACTGTGATTATGCTTTTGATTAACCCTGATGTCCTTAGTGTGGGTTTCCTATGCACTGTTTAAGTCCCAACCTAACTTGTGACTAATTGCATAGCAGTGGAAAAGAAGGCTGTAGGGAAGCGTGAATGTTTGGGAGACATTACTGTAGGGGCAACCTGTGGGAGGGACCCTGTAGTCACTTCTAGGCAAAGAGGTGGGCCACAGGGGCATCCATGTGGTTTTCTTAAATTTAGATTTTCCTCTTACTGTGTCCCCTGCCCCACTATACCCCCGCTGTCTGATTCTGTTCCCTCTCTGTTTCCTTTTTTAAATAGTTTGTGTTGCTCTCTTGAGGGGCAGCATGTGTGACTTAATTTTTTAATATTAATTTGTCCATCTTGACATCTTCTCTTCAAAAATTGAGGGTTAACTCAGATTTGTGGCCACCTTCATTTTGGGCTGGCATGGTATAGCATGTTTTGTGACCACATCTAGAGAGCATATAGTAATGTCTCTCAACATCAGGGCCATGATTCTACTGAAGATGTAAATGTGACTTGCTGTGCTGTAAGAATGTGTATAAAAGATTTGCAATTTCAAGACCTACTTTGTTAAGTATCAATGGCCTGGATTTTTGTTTGGTTTATATGTCTGTTAGATTTTGAAGAAAATCTAGTGCATGATGCACTTCAGTTTAGACAGTGAAACCTTTTTTGAGTGTGTGTAATCTGCTTGTCATCCACAGTCACTTTTTTTTACTTTTTTTTATAAAAAGATTTTAGCTTTCATCCTCATCAGGAACATTCCTGGATACGTCCGATCTGTGTATAGCTCGTTCTTTGCCTGGTTTGGCAAAATTTCTCTAGAGGTAAGTAGAGCGATCAGAAGTACAGTGAACTGAAAATTAGAAATGTAAGGTGGTTTTATTATCTAAATTGTAGCATAACACATAAATAGTGACACCACTTACTGGTTTATTCAATACCATGCTGATGTGTTTGCCCTCTTTTAGCCTGTTAGCTTCCATCTACACTTAAAAATCATAGCTGAAACGGGAGTCTCACAGTAGGAAACCTATTTCTTAGGTTGTTTCAGGGCAGGGAGTTTAGGGTTGTGAGGGTGGGGATTTAATGCTGGAGTAAGCTGTGGTGTGTATGCAGTTGGAAGATAAAAATTGAAGCCAGTTGAAGAATCAGCATGAATTATACTGACTAATATAAGTACACTTATAAACGTGTTTGCCCTGGAAAGCTTTCCTGCCTTTATAAAGAAACAAAACCCTTCTTAGGGCAAATGTTACCATGTTCCATTGAGTGTATATTTTGAAACAGTAGGAATTATCTTGCTTTCCATTTTATTTGCTGCTTAGTAATACCAAATGTTTAATTTTATTGTATTACTAAAATACATTTTAAAAAGGGAAAGGAACTTCTAGGAGAAACTCATTGTAACACAATATATATGTAGTATATGATTTTTATTTTTTTTTTAAAGGATCACATTTCACTGTTCTGATTCCTGGTGAACTTTAAGGTGCTGAGCAACTCCAGGGACCTTTGCAGTCATCAGCAGTTGAAGCGTTATCTTTTATTTGCGTTATCTTTTATGTTAGTTCAGTCCCTCACCAGAGATAACGGAGATGCCTATCTGGTGAAGGGCTAAGCAAACCCATTTCACTACGTACTGTAACAGACTAATAGTTTAGTCTTACAGCAAAAGACATGTGGAAAACAGCTTCTCAGGGTATGTTAATTGTAAATATCTGACTTAAGCAGAAGTACAGTAGGAGAGCTGGTGCAGGAGTAATAATGATGTGTTTTTATAGAAGTAAAAATATTTATATATAAGTATTATTAAACACACTCTTTTTTTCTTCTAGCTTTTCATTTGCCAATACCATATTTGGCTGGCAGCAGACACAAAGGGGATCCTGGTGCTCATTCCTGGATATCCAATGTTTAATGTTCTTGTCAGCACTTTTATATTCGTGTGTGTGGCACATGAAATTTCTCAGATCACTAATGACCTAGCGCAGATCGTTGTTCCTAAAGATAACTCGACTCTGCTTAAAAGGTTGCTATGCATAGCTGGATTTTTTTCTGGACTACTCCTCTTCTCAGCAATGCAAGATCAGTCAAGGCATTAACTTTTCTTCAGGTTTACTTTGAGTCTGCCTGAACAAAACTTCTCAGTTGGAGGTACAAGAGGACATTTAAATTAAGTGTGTGGAAAATGTATATAGAGCAAATGTACATACTTTGTGTGGAAATAGCCTTCTCAAAGAATCTGAGAAACAAGAATGCACTGTACAGAATTGCATGTGAAGATGAGTCTTTTCTACTGGATGTATGTTTCTGTTTACATATCTGTTCAAACATGACACAAAGGAGTGAAGTCAAGTGGTTTAGCAATACCGTGTGCATATCCCGGAATTAACTCTACCTTGGGTCAGCTGACTGACGAATGGGCGTTGCTAGAGCAGCGCCTGCGTGTCAGACACGCTGTAATCATTCTCCTCAAGGAACAAAAAGGAGCAAACTTACGATCCTTCATTAATGGTACCTTTAGCTGATGTGAAACATGAAGTTACTGGTAAACCAGGGCATTTTTCTGATCAAAATGGTAATTTTTTTCTTCAGAAAGGAGTATTTTGGGTGGAGATAGTATGTTATATGAAACCCTTTATACGTGGAAATAAAAAGTTATCACCAAATCAGTGATTTAAGATTATATACAAGTTTACATATTTTTTTTTCTTTAAGAAATTTAAGATGTTATGGTAAATTCTGAAGTGAAATTTTTTTATATAAAGAAAATTCTATTTTTTTTCCCTAAAATTGTTTGCTTTTTCATACACTTTCCACTAATTCATTTAACTATGTGCAGTTCTCTATACAGTCACAGTGAACAGACAAATGAGTAATTTTCAGAGACTCAGTTCAAGAAGGAGAATTTTTGGAAGACCTCCGACCTTTTCCAGTCAGATCAAATCCCATCAGATCCACTCCATCAGACCTTAAGCAGGAGCACGGGGAAACAGTGATCTTGGAACCACGGAGTTTGTAGGTGACCTTGAACTAGGTCTCACTAGGGAACTGGTGCCATATCCTAGCCTGTAGTAATGTTTTTATTTGAAAGGATGCAAGTCAATCTGTTCATATCCCAAGAAGGAGGGATTAAGTCATTTTCCTGTTGCACGCAGAGGTTAACTCTCAGTATTAAAATGAAATGAGATGGGAGCTGTTTGGAGGAACCTTTTGTCCCATCCTCTTTAGCAGTGCCCATCTTATTAACTCTTTAGCATAAAAATGAAAGACATAGCCCTTGAGTGGGGCAGTGACAAGCTGTAATTCACATTTCACTTACTCAGTAAAGTTATGGTCATTTCTTTGCTATTTGTGGTTTTGATTCAAGCGATAGTTTGACCTCTAGTTGCTTTTACATTTTATTCTACCAATTACTTGTTAGCAGTCAAAACCATGAGCACAATATCCTTTTCCAAGCATATGTGCAATTCTGTATGATTATAAACAATATGAATCTTAATTTGTACCATATGTACTGTCATATACATGTTTTTGATTTTATCCCAGTTAAAAAACTGAATTCAAACTTGCAGCCACCACTGAGTGCAAAAAAAAGTTGTGGAAAGAATGGCTTCAATATTACTTTTTTTGGTGGAGAACAATTTCTTTTAAAGAATGACCAGTCATTCATCATAAAAAAGAAAAAAAAAACATTCACTTCCCCCAAATTCAGCAGTTTCACTAAGTCTGCCAGCTATTTTAGAAGCTAGCGGAAAGACACTCAGCTGTTTGTTCTTTGTGTGCATTACTTCCAGTGTTTGGAACGTTAACCTCCTTGATCGGTCAGTTCATTGGAATGGCTGAAAGAAATGGTGTAGGTGAACACTGTAGTGAGGGATAGGATGCATGACCTTCATCTATGCCAGTATTAGGAGCAATGGGGAACTGTGAGTTTGAGAGAGAATTTTTTTTTTTTGTTCTTCACAACTTAAGTACTGTAGATATAATTTTATTTATCTGTTGTACAGACTCGGTTAAAAGATTTATTTTTAATGTTTGAAATAATGCACTTGTTTACTGTATGTGGGATAAATATATTTTCTTTTCAAGTTATGTAAAGATACGAACTAATTTAAACATTAAATAAATGTGCTGTGGATGCTTATTTTTGTAATGGGAGCAGCATCAATTAAGTAAAAACTTTTTATGGCTTGACTCTAGCTGGGCTACAGTTCACTGTTATGCCTGCCATCATTACAGATTAGGATTGTAGATTCCGACAGCGATTTCTGGGTACTGTTAGGTCCAGTGAAGGGCAGGTACTCACTCGTATCACAAATTATTTCGGAGGCCGTGCAGGAAGAAGGATTCTTCTGCAGTAAATCTCACTGTCTGGGGTCTGATGAAATCATGGCTGCAGGAGCCACCCCCCCCCTGGAGCTGGGGGCCCTCCTGCAGAACGCCGCCGCCGTGTCACATACCTCTGCCCCCTGGGTTACACGGCTGGCAACGGCGGCAGAGCTCTGTGTGAAAGCAGAGGAACTGACTTGGCTTTTCTTCAGGCTGGCAACATCAAGCAACCCACCCTTATCGTTTGGGTTAAGGAATTCAGCTTTTAATTTAGCTACTGAAGTTCCACACGAAATAGAAGAGGGGGCTGCTTAAGAAAAGGATTCAGAGTGGTGCTTCCCAGCTCCAGAGCTCCTCGTATCATCAGGGAGGCACATGGTACGGAAGGTGGGCACCTGACCTACGTGGTGCAGATGCTGCCCATCCTTTCCGGTCACACCACCTAGCTCAGCATCTCCCCCAGTGAAACAGGAGCCTGCACAATCCATCAGCTCCACTTCAGTTCCACGCACTTCCCAGCCAGTGTCACCCTCCGTACCCGCAAGAGCTGCCACACAAAGTTGTTCAGGCATCACTGTGTAAAATAACCAGGCAGCAACATCACTACTTAATGTCTTCCTATTTATTAGATTTTACATTTCATATATTTACAAAGACATTTGTAGTGCCTTCTCTTTAATTTGGTTGCAACTGTCACTTAATACAGTATCGGTTCATACTATCATCGTACACCGTTAAAAGGAGCTGTGAATTTACTGTTGTAACTATCAGCACTTTTAACTAACTCTTTAGCCAGCTTTATAAATCTATGCTTCCACAGTAATTATTTTGATAAGTAAAAATAAATAATTTGGTTTTAAACTTACCTCAAATGAATATGGCTTTCAATCATAAAATAGTTCAGGTGTGCTCAATACTGAAGTCACTGACATCATTAGATTTATTTCAGATTAGGTGGACCACCCACTGGTATAAACTGATTCTTTATGCATGTACATAACAGTTTAAGAAATTTCCTTAAAGGTATTGGCACTCTTACATATTAATGCAAATAAGATAGAAGCAGCTCAACTGGTATTTAATTGATTGTCACGTCATCCTCAAGTTATCAGAAATGGTTAGCATCCAAACCCAATACTATTTACAAAGTTTAGTCTTACGTTGCATTAAAAATCATTATTTAAAATCCATTCCATTCATTTCTGTTTCAGAGCACTGACAGCTCATACATTTGAAAACAGTAGTGGAAACTAGCAGAAACCAAATGCTGATTGTACTCAAATTTTTCACAGCCTGGATAAGAGAAGTAGATTTTTAATTTACTATAAAACTCAGCATGCAGTTTTCCAATTCACTTCTCACCGATCACCATCCAAGCTACTGGAAGAAAGGAGGGGGTCTCTCAGAAGGCTGACTGGCTGATGAAAGTCTTCCTTGCTACTGCCTGGATGAGGTAGCTGTGACTCAGGCCACTTTGAAAGTGAGTAGGAATGGCTCTTTATTCCAACTGTTTCACAAACTGATGTAGTTTTTCAATTTCTATGCCTAGCTTGAGCCATTTCTCTTAGTGTAACTGCCACCAGCACGGTTCCGATGGCTAGATGCATTTGTTAGCATATTCTGTAGGGTGTGCTTAGCATTTAGGGCAGCCTTGCAAGGTCGGGACATTTAAGGCTTGACAATATAAAGTACACACAGTGTTCTGAGCACTTGTTGCGTACTTTGATGCAATAATTATACTTGTTGCACAAAATGTGCCTAAAAAACAGCTCAGGACTCGTTTTAAGTATCTGCTGAAGTGTTGCGTTCAGGTCCAAGCCTATAAACACATCACTATGTTCATTTTTAAGCAAACAAAATAAGGGTTTGCGATGTGAAGGAAGAGGGTCATAACTGTAAAAAAAAAAAAAAAAAAAAAAAAAAAGAAAAAATCCAGTGACTACTTTGGTCTTTCTACAAACTCTAATAACTTTGGTTTACAGTTTCTTTTTAGCCTCAGTCTTAAACTCCTAAATTACTCAGAATTTCTCCTAGCAAAGACCTCAGAAACCTCAGCTAAGGAAATGTAGCTGGCATTTAGCAATCGTCAAGCAGGCACAGCTTTCTGCTTACAATAAAACGTCCTGATGAACATACAGCTTCTGAAAGAGAAAATATTGCAGAAAAAAGACAAAGCCTAAGTGTCAGCTTAAAACAGAATGATGCTTTGAGGTAAAACCTCAAGAGCTGTTGGTGTGCCCTGTTACAGCTGGAGACCCTGAAGTCTTGTATTATGCTGTATTTGAGGATTTAAAGAATAATAATAATTTAAAATATGCAAAACAGTGTCAGGAGATAAATTACCACCACCTATCGAAAAATAAGGAAACCTCAGTTCAGATCCTTTTAACAAAGTTCGTATTATTAAGCTTTCAGCTGCATAGACAACTGCCTCTCAAAGTAGCCACCTCCCAGGAAAGTATGGGCTTAATCAACTCTTTTTTAAGATGCTAAAAAATAATCCTTGGTTTATTGGTTACCTAGTTCTCCCACAGCTCTTTTTGCTCCGAATAGGGTAAAGAATGTGGAGGATATAAAAAACAAACTGCATCAGGAATATCACAAAAAATTTTTTGGAGAGTGTTTTTAAAGAGTTAGTCCATGTATACCGTAACAAAATTTACCCTTGTTTATTGCAGACATTAATTTCTGCCTACAGTAGTTTGTAACAGTTTCTTCTAACATAACCAGATGAATGAATGGACAGATTTTAAATGTTTAATTGCTTACAAGTTGTCAAATAGGTTAAAATATCTGGTAAAGGAACAGAAATCCAATTTTCAATAGGAATAGTTTTAGGTCGTTGTTTTGAGGCTTTTTTTCTTTTTTTTTTTTTTTTTTCCAAAATAACTTTGCTGATTACATTTTGATAATCTCTACGAAATTAATGCCTAATAAATCTGGAATACTATTTCTGAGCCTCATCATATTGCACAAGTTTTCATGCTTGTACACTACTGCTTTTTGTGTGCAAATGTAAGGCAATTATCCTACTGAACAGAGTCTGAAATCCTTTGAACCTGGTGCTTATTGTGAAGTTTTGATTTCCCCGTTAAAACTTTCAGGAGAGATCACAAGACAGAATAAAGTTTTATATTTATTAATACATATATTTGAAAGATTATTTTCTGAATGTAACAAATATAAAAAGTTATCAGTGTTTACAAATTGTCAAAAATGTCCAAAGTACAAAAGGATACAGTACGTCAGTTATATGGAAGTGATTGTACTCTCTGGCACTGAAATCATCTTAATACTGTGAGCATGCACAATATACACCAGAAAAACTCATGCATCAATCAGAACAAATAAGGAAATATGACAATTTGCTGCCTTCTCTGATTACAAATTCATTGCTTCTGTTAGTTTTCTTTCCTCAGGAATACCATTTACCTGCAAATAGATGAGAATTTATATAATCCATCAGTGGCAGATGATGCTTCAACAATACTGAACTGTCAGCTGGTAGCACAGCACATACAGAGTATCTGTTCCTCCTTTATCAACCACCACATTGAAGAAACACTACAAGTACAAACCTGGACCAAAAGACAACGTAAACATGAAAAAGCTTAGCTTGCTTTCTCCTGGAAAGGGAGAGATCTGGAAAAGATTGTTTAACTGGAAATTTATATTTGGGATCTAACAGACTTCATAGGGAGACTGTGAAGCTCAAAATGAAAAACGCGGGATATGTTGTACATGCACTAGTCTTTTGCACTGTAGGAATATCCTGTAAATTGTTTCATTTAAGCACCTTAAAACAGTCCTCATGAATTTTGCCAATCGACAGACAGACAATTATAAAACTTAATATACCTTTTCATATTGGAGACCAGGAGCACTTTCCAGTAGTGTAATATATATGTTAGATAAGAGTTGTCACCTTTCATAAAATTCATTCCCCATTATGTTTTAACTTTGTGAAATGGTCGAGCATTATGTCAGCTATCAAGTCTGCATTTTTACATAAGGTTAAAAAGAATTTTTTCCTTATTGGGGATTCAGATAATTCCTGAAGAGGAGAGTGGTTATCAGACACTGTCTGCTCTTCATATTACTAAGTATGGTCTACTAAGGCTTTAAAACAGAAATTTCTTCTTCATGGTGGACTGATACTGTGTTAATAATCCTGATTATATTACTGGGAACTTTCTGTAGGAGGGGAAGAAAATTAAACAATGTCTGACTCATCCTATAGTTTTTTTGTCCTTAAGTGTTTTAGTTCTGTAAATTTCTTATTTTAACAGATCAATAAAATTGATTGCTAAGTTTGTATTGATGCTACTAAAAACTTAGGAGCACCTAAATTTCGTTTGAAATTGTAACCTAAAAATCTAACCTTCTGACAACACGAGTCACAAATATCCTTTAGAAGATAAACTGCAAGAGACACGTGCCATGCTGTCACAGAAGTGCTTGCAGTGTCATCTGCACACCCGCGTCACGAAGGAAGGTGTCATTGTAAACTAAGAAAAGAGGACGAAACCCTGTCTGACCCAAATACATTTCCCCCCCCCCCAATTTCTGAAAGCTTCTCACAGGCAGAATCTATGAGGAATATGAAAGAACGGGCGCATTCTACCAAAATAACGTACTACAGAAAATACACACACAGGACGATTTTTAAGATCTATTTTTATGGCAGTTCTTCAGTGTGCTCTGCAAGCAACGAACCTCTGCTATCTTATATTTCATACCTTTTTAAAAAATTCTCACTGCTGCCAACATACAGTACTACCAGGTGATTTCGCATCTTTTTTACTGCAGGACAGACTGGAATTTTTGTAACAAAACAGTCATAACAGAAGAGCTGAACTGTGTCACATTTTTATTCTGCCTTCTAAATGCCTGTGGTAGTGAGTGTGAGAACTGTGCTAAATGTCAACCCAAACCAGTGCTGGAGGCTTTGGACTGAGGCTCTGACCACCAGGGTCATTCGCCATTTCCAGTATATGTATAACAAAGCACACAAATAGCCAAGTTAGCAGAACTGCAGTCAATATCTTTTTTTTATAAATGTGTTTTTTACTTTCCAGATAACAAAAAAAAAAAAAACAAAACACACGGGCAGAAGCATCTATTATATACTTGCCTCAAATCTTTGAAATGTTGTCATACGAAATTCTCCTTTACTCCCCGAAAGCAGTAATGAAGAAGAAGGATTTTCAATGAAAAGAAAGAGTTGCTTATGGAACTCCTAAGTTAAAACAAGTCCTCCTCTTGGAGTTGTAGCTCCCGCATTATGTTCGATACATATATATATATATACACACACACCCGTTGAGTTTTGCCTAAATACCTCTTTGAATATTCAAAAATTATACTTTGGCCTCTACATTTTCCATGTATGATCCTTATCCCCTTTCACATGGCTATGGCTGCAACTAGAGAACAATCAGCCTTAGCTGATACTCTGATGGCATCATTCACGACCTCAGCCAGTACATTAGGATTTGTGACAATGATGTAAAAGTGATGACTAAGACACAGGAAACCTGCAGCATGGATATGTGCCTCACCACAGATTCCCCGGTATCACCTCTTTGTTAGTAACAGCAATAAGGAGCTCCTTCTACAGAGCTTGACTAGTATCGGTGGGGATTAGAAGTTTTTATTTCCTGGGAAGTTTTAGAGAATCTGAACACTGTAACTGCATTTGGGGATCCGGCTCTTGCTTCACGTTGTGACAGAAAATTATTTATATGAGGAGGTTTCTAACTCAGCTGTAACAGATTCCAGTATCTCATGCTGCCCTAACGGAGCATTTCTCCTACTTGTTTAAGCAATCCCATTGCAAAATTTTCACTGATGCATCAAAAAAATTTTGGAATGACAATGCTGTAATACTTTAGTATACCTGAAAATGGTTTCCACTGTCCTTAGACTGTACGTGTTTTAACTAGGGATTCCTCTGCACTGGTCAATTAATAGTTACAATATTTTCTCAGTACTGACCTGCACTCTGGTGCTGTGGAATCTGCGTCTGATGTGGCAGGTTCCTACAAAAAACAATGTAATATCTTTAATGCTTCCACACAAACTCTAAAGTATGTTTTGCATAGAAGTTCAGTATGTAAAATCTCAGGTTTTGCTTACAAAGCAATAATCCATTTTCACTATGCAAATACAGTTGTCAAAAGAAGGTTAGCCAAGTCAATTAAAGAAAATTATTGTTAAGGGGTAGTTTCTGTTACTCTACTTGTGAAGTAGGTTCAAAGACTCAGACTTGGTAAAACGCCAGAGTTACCAACAGTCACTGGAGACTTCTGATGTCATGCAAAGTTTAGTTTCCATAAGTGATGAACTGAGGAAAGCTGACAGTCTTTGCAACTTAATGTTTGTGGAATGAACTAGCTAGACAGCTGGTTTTACAGACTGGACCAGCTCACTTATCAAGGCAAAGGTACATATTTCTGTCCCACTTAAGTGCCTCTTTTAACATCTACCAGATATGAAGGTTGTTTTTACTGAAAGGAATTAGGGGTGGGAATGCAGGTGAAGCAGATAAAAACTGTATGTACAAGCTAAGAAAGCCTTTGGTACAGGCTGTGGCACCCCAGTCATAAAATACTGCTATTCTGAATAGAGAAGAAACTGTAAAAGACAGGGCAGAGAACTCTGCAGCAGTTGTATAAGGGATACAGCCATACTTTGTGCAGAATTTAGCTTTGCGACAGGTGGAAGAAAACACTCTTCTAGCACGTGTCTGCATTATGAAGGGAATTCAGGGCAAGCATGTGTAAATTCAGGCCAAGTTCAGGCTGGCACTGGACCAGTACCACTGGGGCCATGCAGGCCTGAGAGCTGAGGGGCTACTGGCTGGAGCTGGTGCCATAGCCCGGCGCTGGCAAACAGCACCAGCCACTTTGGAGACCACTGCCTCCGAGCTGCTCATCCCCCAGACACCTCAACCAAACCTTTCTGGAACTGACTTTTTACTACAGCACTGCTGACTCGTCTGAATTAGAACACGTGCAAAGCACTGGATCGATCTGTCTTCACAGCTGCATTAAGTTACTGATAAATAAACTTCAAGGAATAGAAATTAGTATTTTGCTGTTTTATGTCTTGGAGAGAGGCTGGTAACAACGGAAACAGCCGAGAGCCCTGAGCATTTTCATTGGGAAGTCTGCATTTATTATCTGTGTCATGAAATATGCTTGTCTGTTCAACGTTAACATTTCAAACATAAACCACGTGTGACAGGTACATGACTAACTATTAACAAAGTCGGGATTTTCTGGTATGAAACTGCCACCAACCCGGTGGTAGTTTTATACCAGAACTCCAAAGACATGGGTTAAGATGCAACTGTCTAAAATAGAAGAGTTTTAACCGATCCCTCTGTCAAAAGTAGGTTTTCTCCAAAACACGCAGAAATGTAACTGTTCCTGTCAAAGCTTCCTGCCAAGTCTGCAGACTGAAACCCAGCCATTTAATTTTATAACAGAAGGCCTTTCTTTCTGCTTGAAATGCAAACACCAGAGCAATCTTGAACTAGAGTCATTCCTGATACTGCCATAAACAACACATTTCAGATGACAAGCACTGGAATCCATAGTTAAATCATGCAACTTAATGAGTATTAAAAAAAATAAAATAAAGCCTAGGTACTCACTGCTGCGTTTGCATCAGTGGCATACTGGTATTATCGTAGCTGTCCGTGTGAAGGGGCGGCACAATCTCACCAGTAACTGGGTGAAACACAGGAAGCGTGGAAAGAGGCCATGCTATCTCTCTATTTTTAGACATGTCACGAAGCTCTTTGGTTGATTTCTGTATAGCACTGTGGTGGACCAACTGGATGCTACGTCAAAAGGAAACAAAGTTGTAAATACGTATCTTAAATGCTCCATCGAGACAGACAGACTTTCACAATTACTGTTTTTTCTTAAAAACACAAGGTTTTTGATGCATGCTACAGACTCTAGAGTGCATCAATTACAGTAAACCTTTATATAGTTAATTTAATAAGTATTGGATTTATTTCATTTTTAAGGCAGTAATTATTCCATTAGATTTTGCGGTCTGGATAAGAGTTTTTCATAGGATCCAAGACTATGCAATTTATGGCTAATGTTCCATTTATTTGCTGCAGTTAAAAGTTTTGGTTAACTCCTGATTCTTGTGGTAGATTCATAAAAACTCATCAATTAATTTAAAAACACTCCATAGCATAGGCACTGGATACCTTCCAGGATATTTGTTCTCCTGTCCACTGCCTTTAAGATATAGGCTGGGAAGTCCAAAAACCAGGAGTATAAATTACATATTAACATATTTATTCTAACAACACTATTTTATTTTGAATTGACAGTCGTTAATTTCAAACCCTTTTTATTCTGATCTTCTATCCTTGCCAAGACTCTGATTTAAAAGCAGCTTTCACATTTGTGAATTAAACCATGGATTAGAGAGAATGAAGGAAGATTATGACACACATGTATGAAGCATGACAAGCTACTGAGAATGAAAATTAAATGGTAAAAGAAAAATAACAGGAAAGAAGACACTTACTCTGGTGTTTGCATGTTTCTCTTTTCCCTAAAAACAAAACAAAATTTATGAATTAAATAATAGCATTGATAGTTGGAACATTAAATCTATCTGCTGATGAAAGTAGTATATGATGTAGAAATGCTGACAAGGTTATTGCTAAATGCAACTTGGCAGCATTTGCAACTGGGTTTATGATGAGACCTTGATGAACGCACGTATAGAGATGTGATACTGATGACAGACACGCACACACAGACACACACACAGAGCAATGAAAATGCAAGTTAAAGAACAAGCTTCTGGCTAAAATAAATTCTGTGACAAAATGAAACTGTAGTTTGTGTAAGAAATGGCAGAAATTACGTTACTTGCTGCTTTCCTTTTATGTGTTTTTCTTTTATAGTATGTCTAAATTCAGTTCATATCCTCAACCAGATTTTATTTTATAAAGTTAGCATTTTAGAAATTACTTAGTATTTTCCTGAATTAATGATCCTTTATTAGTATTTTATTTGTTTGGGGCATTTTGGAGAGTTGTGCATATGTGAACAGTTTGTGGAGTTTTGTGCATATGTTGAGATTTTTAACCTTTTCAACTAGAACAATTAAAGGCCCTATACCCATTCTCCTGGAAATTACTGTATGTGCTTAGATGAGAAATAGTTCAATACTTCAAGCAGGTATCTTTTGGCCTGTTTTGAATGTTTTTAATGAACTGAATGGAAATCTTCTAACAAATAATCTTTTATGCATTATAATCTTAGAAAAATTTACAATTACTTATTAGCGTGTTAAAGTACTCACACTCCTTCCCGTCGGCAGCACATGATATAGGCAAGTATTAGAAAAAGCACCAGTGCTATTGCCGAGGGCACTGCCAGTGTAATTAGGAAATCCGAGTAATAGTCTCTGCTTTTCAGTGTATCAGAAGGTGGCTTGTATTCTCCACCATCAGGTAATATCCCCTCTCCACGAATCACTTCCTGAAAGGTGGAAACTTGTTTTGTATTGTCAACCTGATACCCAAAAAAAAAAAAAAAAAAAGACAAAAAAAGAAGACAATTATATAACAAAGTAACAGAGCGTGAAAACAGGCAGTGTTTAACCAGCCATAACATACAAAAGAATCCATATTACACATCTGGCAGTATCTGTACAATGTAATCCAATCACTTTTTTTGACCAACAAGACCTTACGTTTTGTTGAAAGCTTCTGAGAGATGTGAATAGTCCTATCACTTTATCACCTTATCACTTTGTGTCTACCAGAGATACTATGGTTTTTACAGATTAATTTTAGGGATATCTCACAGAAACCGTATCTGAGTAAAAATTCAGTAAACATTTTTATTGCAAACTAATTATTTTATACCGATTTCTTTCTGATTAATTAATCCATTCCTTACTAGTCTTCCTAAGTAACAATACTGCCCTCTCTTGTATGGAAGTGGTAGAGATGAAGAGAGGAGTACCGATGGGTTTTCTTCCTCCTTCTTCCTACTGAGCTTCGCACCCAGTGCTCTGAGCAGCAGGGAGCAGGAGCCGAGCTGCTGAGGACCGAGCAGCTCCGCTGCCTCCCCCCGCCACCCGAGGCAGGAAGCACCCCGACATGAGATATGTGGTTAGTTCATCACAGCCAGAGTTCCGACGTTCTTTCCACCTCTTAATTCAACTGACCTCCAGAAGGCTGCGTTCCTGGTCACAAGTAACTAACTTTTTTTTTTTTTTTTAATGTCTGTATCTAATGTTTCTAGAAATACAACCTTTTCTTGCTACTGACTTTCATCCTGTATTTAATTGACTGACTTTTCCATGTGACTTTTCAATTCTCTGCCTTCATTTTCTTGTTATCTTCAGTTAGGTATTACTTCTAAAGTTTATCAGTGTTCGCTTTAAAACTCTCTCCAGATCATTAATGAAAATAAATGATATTTGTCTTCTTGACCTTTTGCCTGTCACTGTTCGTTGAGAAATCTTGCAACTGATGGTCATTTCTTTATAATTTACACTTTAAGTCATAAAACGGTGTATTAAAACTTATGCAATGGATGAACAGGTTTTCATGAAATGCTCAAAATAGTGTTTTGTTGTGCTTCAAATGCATACATGTATACATATGTGCAAGACAAGTTTGACCAAAATTAATGTATTCTCCACTCATTAATTATGAAGTATCTTTTATATTAGGTACACCAAGTTGCACCTGGCTGATTAGATGAATCTCAAACCCTAACCAGTACATTAAAAAAAAAAAATGCATGCACTTACTGATGTGACCAACAGAAGCCCAGACACAGCGTGAGAACAAGCTCCCAGAAAGTAGTGTTAAGAGGAAGCATGTATTACATTGCCCCTCTTTTCATAATCTGGGACCCATAAACTTAAATCCACTCTTTCATTTAGGTGCTAACTGGCACCATCACCTCATAAAGAGCAGGAGGAAGAGGATATGATGGTTGTATTTTCACTCACTGGTCTATGTTGCAGTTATGGGAAACGGTGCTCAGCTCCCTCCCAGCCCACGGATCCTGGGGGACTTCCTGCCCCTTGGCTGGCCTTGTGAAAAGCAGAGTGGGATAAGATAGCGGGAAGCCTGAATCCCTTTTCCCTTTGATGGACCAGGAATGCTGCTGGCAACAGTAAACAGCCCTAAGACTATTTCAATTCAGTTATCGTGGCGTGCTGCCAAAACAAGTGCTGAGTTCAAGCCTGCTGAAGAAAATTACCCTTCTCCGAGAGCCTGTTCCTGTTCCACATCCCGGGGTGTGTAACTTTGCTTTTCCCAGAACAGCACAAGGCTGCTTCATGATTAGTTTATCAGCCACTGGTACTGTCAGTTGTTTTTTTCTGGAGAAGTACTGCTAACCACCTGCTCCCCATTAGGCATGGGTACTGTTGATTATCCTTGCATTAGTGCACTGTTCCTCTGCTGCTCCTTTTGAAATTCACCCTGTTTTCTAAGGCTGTTTCTCCAACTTCTCAAGGCGTTTCTGAATTCTATCCTGTTCTTCAATGCACCTGCAGATCCTTTTGGTTTCATGGGGACTGCAAATTTAATTTTAACAGCACATTCCATCACCCAGCTTCTTAATGAAGAACGACAAGGAGTTATCAATAATTCTGCTACGATTATGGCTATCCAACCAGCTCTCCACTAGGTCCTTGCTCCATCTAGGCCACGTTCCTGAGCTTGCTTATGAGAAAGACAGTAGGAAAAAATCTTACCAAAACAAAATGACATCTGCTGCTGCATCTCTGTTCTACTTCTTTCTCATAGAAGGAAACCAAAGACTTGACACAGTTTGTTCTTAACAAAGGCTGACTGCCTTCTACTATTTTTCAGGTGCTATTAAGTATTGCTGTGTACACATATACCTTTCACAATTTCTCAACAGAAAGCCAGTAAACAGTAAATAATCTGGATATTCTTTTGAAAACAAGTATTTTTCAGCTTTCCAACACCTTTCCTAATTCATAGTGTAGAGAAAGAAAGGGCTGGGAGTTACCTAATTGATTTTGTGTATACCTTTTCTCACACTCAATGAATTTTTTACATTGTACGAAAGCCTTTCATATCTCCCTTTCAGTTTCCTCACGGGCAATGTCTGAAGTAGCTCAACAGTCATCTAAGTTTATTTTATGTACCTTCACCATGTTTGTTCAAACTTATCTGCAACATTCTCCTCCAATATCGTACAATTTCTTGATTTTCTTTACCAGAACTAAAAAATAACCTTTAAAAGCCTCTTTGGGAATTATACTTCTTCCATGGCAAATAGTCTAGCATTCAGTTATCATTTTTCTTGCATTAGACTGAAAAGAACGTTCCCATTTACTTTGATTTCATTAGTGAACACTATTTTGTTTTCTTTTTCTATTTCAATTTTAGCACGAAATAGCTTTTAGACAATTTTCAGAAAGATTTTAGCAGCATGAAAATTACATTTAACTGGTGAGTGCTGTAGACTCAGTATTTGAGAAAACATATATATCTATATATACACACATGTATATAGACACACGCTTTTAGAAAAGTAAGTGTAACTAGCAGTATTAGCACACTGAATTAATGAACTACACCTATCCAAATAATTCTCCCATTACTTTTAGTTCTGTAAGCCCTAGAGTTCTCTGGACATTTATACAAATCACTGCTAGTGACAATTAATATGGTGGCTTCACCGGTGCTTAATCTAATAGAATTTAGCCTACGTAGCAAAATCCTTTCATAATTTTAAGAATGTCTACAAAATGGAAAACAGTGTCAATCAATCATGATAAAGTGGAATCTATCAGACCTGTCTGGCCAGGCTGGCAAAACTCTTACCTCAGTCATGTCTGGCATAGAATATTGTACTTCTATAAACATTTTTATGCAATAATAAAATAACTCACCAGAGAGATTTTACACCAGTCAATATGGAATTGAGTACGAAATTTTTTATCACAGGTTATTACAGGCTCCATTTCTTGACTGCATCTCAGCTGGTTTTGTGGGTTTTCCACTTCTCGTAAGCACGAAGAGAATGGAACATCTGCCCCAACCATAACATACACACTGCAAAAAAAAGATGAGTGACAGACTGTCAGGATACCTCTCGCATCTCCCCAAAGGACAATGATGTACTCTTCCAAACACTGTTATTTCTCACAGTAACATTCAGCTGTGCTTTAAAGTATAAAATTACTTTTAAAAATTATTTTTCTTGATAGCACACTTTATCTAAGCACATGAATAACAGACTGAAGTCAAAAGGATTTTTCTAGCTACTTATTACAACTTTGTTTTGCTGCATAACGTAATAGTTTGCTTACCATCAGAACTGTCAATTTCTATGAAGTCATAGAGACCCAAGTGTAGGTTCCTCATGTAAGTAAACCAGTACTACTTTTGAAAATCACATAAAATATATACAATTTTATGTTAAGGAAATCTTCAGTTCTATTCAACATAGTTTTTTCAAAGAGATTCTTCCCATGTTTTCAAATAAAAGTCACAAGGACTAGTTACTTCCAAGCCTAATATTAACATGAGCCTCTCAAAGCCCCCAGCTGCTCCTAAAGGATTCCATACTGCACTTATGCACTGCCAACAAGTTTGCAGAATACTGAAAGCTGAACGTAAACTTAATGCTCCATTTAACATTACAGTACGTAAGAGTTACTGCGCTAACTGTATTATTCATTTTCGTATTTAAATATATAAAATGTTGCTGGAAAATACAGTCTACTGCACCAGGTAATAACGTATCAATGAATTCTGAAACAGAAATTAGGTCCTGGTTACCATTAGGTATTTTAGGCATTATCTAATTAAATGTTTGATATGTAGCCACTTGTATTAAGTGGCTCTGCTATTACTCTGGCTAGTACAGAAGCCACTTCCCTTCTTTAGATGTGCTCAGAAACTCCAGATGTACAAAAGGGCTCTGAAACAACAACCTTTTCTGCATGTATCTTAGATTTTTTGGACCCCCGGCCCTTTCTTAGGTATTATTTGACACAAAATATCTCAAAATAACCAGGCATCTCCATTTTGCCAGGGAAAAGCACAGCCACAACCATATTTTGAAAAGACTGGATCCTTATTAGTTTCTAATTGAAGTATCATATTTCAGAACAGAATTTATGGTTATGAATCACAACTGGAAATAATGTGCTCCTGCAGTTTACACTCAGTAACATAAATTCCCCGGATACCTCAGCTTATCACTTTCAGATGAAAGTCCACAGTGCTTCTAAAGCATGTAGTTAAATTTCACTAAGTAAGAGTACAGCTACAAATGACACTGTTACATGCTAAACGCTCTTAGAAATCTGAGTGTCTTTGTAACCTATGCTCTATCACACCTTGCTTCAAAATTTTGAGTTTTGTGAATTGGGAATTATTGAATATTTGAAAGCATGCCAGATGACTGCTCAGAAGTAAGACTGGAATTACAAAATAAGCATATTTACTACCAACTGTTTTATAATTAATAGAGGTCATTAGTATCCCTTGGATTGTAAAATTGATGTGTAGAAATTCTAACCTGTTGAAATGGTATCTAACATGATAAATCCATGGTGTAAGAGGGGCTCGGAACATCAGTAAACTTTTCATATCGAATAGCAATCTGGATTTCCAAAATATAAAACAGCAGTTGCAAAGTTTCTAGAAAACCTGAAAAAATACTAAGCTTTTCAGTAAGGAGAAAAAAAAGAGTAAAGCAAAAGCATGAGACTGACAAAGGTACTTACCCCTCCTTCATGTCATTAATAGGTAGTGGAACTCTCCCTCCCCTATCGAGAGCTGAAGTAATGTTTATAGCATTCAAGCGTTCTGGCTGCCACACATTTTTCACTGCTCCAAGAAAGTCGCCAAGAATTTCACTTGCTAACATTTCTTCAACATTCATATTCCTTATGAAGAACTCCGCTTGATATGGTAAAGGAAAATCTAGTCGTGATGAGAAAAAGAGAGTTTTGCCTTGAACAAATGCCCCATAACAACGAATGGGAAGTTTAATATTGATACACCTTTCCAAAAATCTTGTATTTGAACTAGCTCATTTTGACCCTAATATGATTATGATTAATTAAATAGTTAGTACTATTAGCTGTCACTTAAGCTGAAAACCATTGGCTATTTATAAAGCAACTGGGAGACAAAGGAGCAGTCTAGAGGAAAAGAGTCTCAGCTGGTAAATCTTCATTAAACATAAAATTACAGTCGTGCCAATTTGGGGATCAAAACTGATCTGCAGTGCCAATGGATTCCAACGTGCAACACTCCAGACTAGATATAAATGATGAAGAGAACTAATTTTAAGGACACAAACTATTCAATTCAGTTTTTCTCAATTGAAATGTCTATATATGCCATAATCTGCCTATATGGCTGTTCTCTGCATAAATAACATGTAGAAGTAAGCAAACTAAACAACATGCAGAAAGAGAGTAAAATCCTTCATGTAAAGTCCATTTGAAAAGACAGGGAAAAAAAATGAAATTCATTATTAAAAAAGTAAACATGCTTTTTTTTAAAAAATGAATGAGGAATAATAGTCTTACCTGACAGAAATAATTCAGATAAAAATAACAAATTGGATCAAAAGAGGGAAAACTTACTTCCCCTTTGTACCTCCACATTTGGCCTGAACACCAGAAAGCTATTTTACATTATTTTTTTAATCTTAAAAGAATACCATAAATGTTTTTGCTTATTCAGTTCAAAACACAACAAGCTATTTTCTGTACATACCTTCCGCTGACATTATATTAATGATCAAATTATGTCTTGCTGTCTCGAAGGTACGCCTGTTATATGCAGTGATCTAGAGTTAAAAAAAAAATTATTGCAAACAAACAATGCAAACATGAAAATCAGGTAAATGAAACATCAGTGAAAATTAAATTGATAATTTCAAAATACTTACCACTTTTTAAATGCTTTGCCTCCTTATTTGAAATGTATCAACATGCATTAATATAAAATTTGAAAAGTAAGATCAATTTATTTGATGCAGTACTACCTTCAAGTCAGGATAGTGGAATTTTTTTGACCAGTCTATAGCCAAATACACTTATCCAAGGGACACAGGTATGTATTTCGGTCCAGATAAAACTGTTCTACTATTCATGTGTATTCTTTCTTTTCTGCTACCTTCGATTTAAGAACAACCATAATCACAGACTGGTTTCTCCATTTCCCCTTCCGCCAATACCGTAAGATCTACATTCACTGCTAGCTCCTGGGGAACTAAACTAGATGGAGATATCTAAAGGAAAGAGTGCTGGAATCTCAGCAGTCCTAATCTTTGGGATTGGGATTTAGCTTTAGCTCTAGTTCCACTGAAGTCACACTCAGTGAATGGATTCACAAGCATTGCCCCTTCACAAGCATTGCGCCAACACAAGTAGTTTTCAAAAAAATCATGATATCTGTAACCGTAGGGGAACTGAAAACGAGTAGGTAGATGCAACATTCATGACCCTTATTTCTGGAAGCTTTTGCCAGGGTTGTCAAGCACGGGAACAGGCTACCCAGGAATTGGTTGAGTCCCCACCCCTGGAGGCAGGGGGGACGTGGTTTAGTGGGGGACTTGGCAGTGCTAGCTTAACGGTTGGACTCGACCATCTTAAAGGGCTTTTCCAACCCGAACGATTTTGTGCCTATGATTCGTCATCAAATTATGTAAGGATGACAATCTTATAGTTTAAATGTCTAGGATGCCCAAAATGCTTGCAAGTGGTTACTCCTCAATGGTAACTGTACTCTGAAGATGTACTATGATTAAGTGCTTGTTCATAAGAAATACAGAATGAAGCTAGATGTCAGCACAATGATGTATTATTTTTTCTACTTTCTTTTTATTCTGAAAGGTGATAAATCTTTCATAAAACAAATTGAAAAAGACTAACTTTCCTCCTAATTTTAGACTTTAGTTAATTAATTTCAGGGACAAAAGAGAGGCAAAGGAGTGGCAATAGTAACAGACTTCTGCTGCTTCTCAGCAAACAGAGCTACAAACCGTCGTGACATTGATTATCAAACAAACAAAAGCAATAGAAATTATACTTCTTTTAAGAGATTTTAAATGAAAAGAGGAAAAAGCTCTGGAATACCTTCTACAGGTTTATTTCAGCGTAGAGGGAAAAACTTACCTGATACAATTACATCTTGTGTAATGTAACAACTTAATTATAAAATTAATAGAAAATAAATTTGTTAAAATTAATAGAAAACACATTCCTGAGATTTTTTTCAAATCCTTGATTCTGTAAATTTTTTCAAAGAGTTGTTTCAATGGTAGTTTAAACCATCAATACTTAGGAAACCTAACTCTGGTTGTACAAGCTCGACACAGGAACCTGCCAGTAACCACTGAGTGTGTACTCCGGCAGTGAGCGCTGCCCGTGTGGGCCGTGCCCCTGTACCGGGTCATGGTGACAGTGGTGGAGATTGCCTTTGTGCTGAATATTCACTCAAACGCAAACCACCTTTGCACAGCTTTCAATGGAGCTTGAGCTCAAGAACATTACCTGCCCTGCGGCGGTGCTATGCATGATGTTAGGCTCTTCGACTCATGAGGTCTCCTCCAAATAATTGACCTACCCATGATATCACCTCAGGAATGACAACACGATAAACGTTATATTCAGGCCAGGAATAAGCAACTGCTCCTCTCAGGTAGCACTTGGAAGTGTATCAAATGCAATCTGCCCTCCTCATGTACTACAGAATTAATTTAAAAGCCACATCTGAGAGGGGACTGCAATGAATTAATTTGTATGCTAAGCAAGATTTAGTTCAAATATAGGCTTGGGGTCATGTTTATAATAGAGGTCTTGATATAGATCCATGAATCTAAAAGCACATGCCATTTAAAAAAAGGGCAACTTTAAATATCAGTTTCCTCTACAGAAAGCTAAGCGCAGTCTGCAAGTACTTCTGCACATGATTAATTTTACAGATGTGGTTAGTCCTGCTGAAATCAAAACTGAATCATGTATATAGACTTAAGCATGGGTGAAATTATCTACAGTATAACTTAACATTTAGAGATGTCATTCTTGAGGAAGAAAACTATATCAAATGCAATTTAGAAAAACAGAAACTCATCAAAGGTTGAAGACAAGCATACTGCTGAAGCAGCAAAATGGCTGGAGCAAGTTAATGAGCAGATTTTCCTTAACACTGTGAATGACTGTCTGATTCAGTCTGCCATCTGTGATGTGCATGGCGGAAAATATAGTCCTTTCTCCATTTCAATTGACGCTCAATGAATAATTGGCACTTTTAAACATTTGTATAGCTAATTGTCAAAAATAAAGTGGTAGGTTTTGTCATCACTACACTTATAAGAACAGAATTAAATACATGTAAGTACTAATTAAAATTAAATTTATCAATAAACATGAATAATAAGCCAGATAATGTTTGATGAAAAATAATTTCATTTAAAAAAAAAAACAAAAAAACAAAACAAATAAACCGAAAACCTGTTTATTGATTGAACACCATATTTTCCTGTGGGGAACAGCGTGGCCCATATCTAGAGTAGAATGTTACAAAGTTCAGAATTCAGATATTCTTCAAGTATAGTTGTTCACAAAGAGTTTTTTCCCCCTTATATTTTGAATACAACTTTAATATAGTCCTAATTTACTGAAATGAAATGCCTCTTAGAAAGTTGAAGGGCAAGAATCTAAAGGTATTTCATCTAGGAATATCAAGCTTAAACTGTTATTGCTATTTACTAGATATACCTTAAAAGTAAAATATGACATATCATACAATTTGGCTTTCTCTCAAAAGAGACATAAGAGAAAATGTTAGTATCACAAGTCCTTGTGTTCCTGCCTTATAACCTTTCTTTTTTTAAAAAAACTTTTCAAAAAAAAAGAGGCAAATGCTTGTTGACAATTCTGAATCTTATACTCTAAAACAACATAAATCTTTTTCAACCTTTAAAAGAAAATACCTCAATGATGGTTGGTTTCCCCACATTTTCTACAGTTGGTGAGCCATAGAGCACTCCATCACTGTATGGTGTCCTTTGTATATAGCGTAGCCATCCAGGTCTGTCTGGGTAGCCCATTAAGTTGGTATTAAATGTGATAGGATCATTACTTATTTCACCTAGACAAGGAAAATGGTATTAGAGTATTTATAAAAAATACTACACACTTTCATTTTGATGTTTCCATTAGAAAATCTGTCTTCCAGTTATGTCTTCTAAACATCTCCAAAAAGAAAAAAAAATTGCTAACCTTCACCATTACAGAAATATCTGAACTCTTACTCAGCACTTTAAGCATTAAGAAATTCAGATTTGAAAAGTGCAACCAACCGCAGGGATGAATGTGCTTCTACTACTTAGAGTCCGGGCTAACTCTGTGTACTTGCGCTCATTAACTAGTAAGTCTGATTTTGAGAGCTCAGTTCCATCTAGAACTGAAGCATCTAAACTCCTTACCGACAAAAGCACAAAATTCTCTGTCCTTTAGTTACCAAAAAAAACCTTATTTTATTCATATTTTTAATAACAGCTCTGGAGACCAAAGATACCTGGGCAGGATTACTGTAAAGAGTGGCTGTGTAATCAATCATTAATGTCTGAAAGCTTCTCTTAGCATCAGGATATACATACAGGTCTTCAGCACCAACAGCCTGGCAGTAGTTTTTCTTTAGAGAAAAAATTATTTCAAAAAATGACCAGACATTCCTGCAAAATGGAAGCACTGATGGCTACTAAATATGACGGTCCAGATGCAACCTCTAAAAGCCTCTAAAGTTAGACCAGTACAACAGTTCTTGTGGTTCTTTTTGATACTCTTAGAAACGGCCAGATTTGACTTCTGTGTATTTTAGCTTTTGTAAGCACGACCAGATCCTGACTGTTGAGGTGTAAGCACCTTACAGCTGAGGGACAGAACTTGGGCAAATCCACTCTGAGCCTGCGCAGACACCCCAGCACTGCGCTCCTCCAGCTCAGCTCTGAAATGGCAACAGGAGTAACTGCAGGACAAGTGAGAGGAGAAGATGACAGGCAGGCTGGCACAAAGGCAGAAACTGAGCTCAGTGAAGAAAGAACGGCTGTCATCTCCTCCAGAGAGGAGACCTGTTGCCAAAGGGTAACTAGTTTTCAGGTATGCATTTACACATCTGGCTGTGTGTAAAAGGGACCAAAACCACCCCAAACCAGCACCAGGGTATAATGCAACTTTCCTCACAATTCTCTCAGGATGTCCCAGTAATCTAATCTGTTGCATTCACACTAAAAATTCCCAGCATCACAAATTACTTGGGGAAAAAATCTGAAAGCCACCTGTAATACATTCTGATTTGCCTTTCATCACAGTAAGTGATGCTAATGATCCAGCAGCGCAGACAAAAACAGAAGGACCATGGTCACAGCTGGCCTTGCAGTGAATTTCTGCCATGATCACAATCATCTACGGGTACAATTTCAGCAGTAGATGAAATCAGGTTCACACTGCCTTTGAACCACAGGAATGTCAAGACAGGCTGGGGCTGTAAGTATTCAAAAGACAATTCATCTTTAGCAAAATTTCTAGGTTCCTCCTTTCTATGTGTCAAAATAGGGAGAAAAACAGGACTGAGGCAAACTTCACTCTGCCAGTCACTGTTACGTGAAATGAAGACTCAGGTATAGATGTCAGGAAAAACATCAATTTTTCAAGGAGAGGAAATTTTTTAAACATTTGGCTTTATTAATGACAAAATTTAACCAATGCTAACAGAAGCTTATTTCTTCTGTAAAGTGGGTTTTGAAAATTATATTCTCAAATCAATTCAAAAGCTTATTAATGAAACAGGTTTTGATTATGTGTGCACTGTGCATTTATTATAGGTTTTTCCTATTTTTATAGGAAAATAGGATAGCTGTATTTATATAAATAGGATATATTTATTATTCCTTTTCATTGTTGATAAGCATGTGGGGCAGAATGTTCTCTTTTTCTCTTCCCCCCTCCCCAGATTGCTTACAGATATTCTAACCTGCCAAAGATCAATCCTTTAGGTTTGCCTTAGGTGTACAGCAAAACACCACACTTAGGAAATCACAGCTTTCTCTAAAAACAGCCTGCTTGCTAACATTCAACTGTTCCTAAATATAAGAAGGCTGAATTCAAAGGAGCATTTGTTTTAAATGAAAGAAAATATTATTTAGTCTCACATTTGATTTAATCTCCTCTTGTGCCTCAAGGTTACTACATGCTTTCAAATCGCTCCTTCATATAAGTCTGATGCATAATACATCAGAAACAGTGATCAGCTAAATGGCATTTTTAACAGACATAATTATTAAACATCCACTATTTCATACTTAATGCAAGAGTGAAGAAAACGTATACTTCCTATATATAATGTGTTATCACACCTTCCCAAATTATTAAGTACATTTTTTACAGTACACAATTATATGCATCTTTTCACAAATGATCATCTTTTCACAAGAACATTCTAAACTTGTAGGACCACATACTTTATTTCATTTGAAGATATTTCAACAGAAACTAAAATTGTCCTTTGTATGCTATATGCTGAACTGTAAGTTATGCTAAATAGACTTAAAATTTTTTAAACATTTTTTTTTTTCCTACATTTTTATATAATATGGAAGATCTTAGCATCCCATACCAGGCTTTGGGTAAGGAGGAAACTCCCCCTTAAAGTACTCTCTCTCCAAAACATGAACAAAAAGAACTCCAGCAGAAGGGTATACATTCCGATCAGAGTGCACCTTAGACAGAATCGTGTACACTGAAAAGCAGAAGGAAAGATAAGAGACAGAAAAAAGCAAAAATGAGACATGCTATAGATAATACAGCATGCATTTCAACAGCAATGTGGGCAATCTGGGAGAAGGAAAGCAATGAGTATTAGATACCTGTTAATAAGTTTTTTAAAAGGTTGCATAGATTTAAGAACAGAACACAGAGCAAACCCTCTCTTTGCCCAACAGGACCCCTTCTGACACTGCAATAAATATAACTGGCTGTGTTAGTATTTCAGAAGTTGCATGAACCCTTTATTTTTATTGCAATAAAAAAAACCCCAAGCCTGGAGAGAGTCTATTGTAATTTTATAGTTGGTTTATTTGTAATATTACATGAATAAAAATACATTGAAAGAATGATACAGCTGTGTTTTCTTAATATTTTACATAAAAATACGGAAGATGAGAAAGACAGAGGAACCTTACCAATCAATGATACTGATTCCTCACTGAATGTAAATGGCAGATTTTTCAGTTCTTGTGCAGAAAAGAACAAAGCATTTCACTTGAGCTGAGGATTTCTGTAAGTTTTTAGAGCCAGACTTTCTTAGACCAGCAAGTTCAGTTAACGTCCATCTAAAAATCTGGTTAGAGAGCTCATTACTGAAAATATTGTGCTTGTATTGAAGGGTAAAACAGAAGGACATGGGCAATTATAGGCCTGTCAGATGTCACTGATTCCAAACAAAAAAATGAAGCCATATTTTACAGGACTCAGGATTAAAAACCTGAAGGAAAATTACTTCAGAACAAGCAGCATATGTAAAAGCAATATGCTTTTTTTTTTTTTATGCAGTTACAAATTTAGTTGATAAACAAATTTTATTTAGGTATAACACATTTGACACAGTACTACATACATATTTTAATGAATTAGAAGAATACAAAAATCATTATGATACATTAAATGGGTAAGAAACCACTTTATCACCAAGTTTAAAAATTTAAGTATAAATGGAGAATACTGATCTAATAGGTGTTTCTCATAGTGCTTTAACAGGACACATTGTAGGTCATATTACTACTTAATTTTCAGTCAGTACCCTGAAAGAATCAATCATTGCTGATAATTCTTGTCAATGATATGAGGATTACACAAGTGGTAAATAAGGATAAGCCAGAGATGCAAACACACAGAGTTCCCTGCCTTGATTGCTAAACTGACAGAAACTTCATGAGAAGTCCCATCTCCGAGCAAGGATCACTGGCCATACAGCATGGCCTGTAGTGTCATAGGGAAAAGTGACTCCAAAAGAAACTTCAGAGTTGTTGTAACAAACTCATAGGAACAAACTCATTCCTCCTAGAAGATAAAAGGGCTAACTTCAACGCTTGGGATACATTTGAAGCAAGATACATTTGAAATGTGGCTCAAACTCACGTAATTTTCTAATCTTGGTATAATTTCTCCAGCCTTATCATTATATCACCCTTCTTTCTTGAGATCCACTTAAAAAGCCACTACTAATTAGGCATTAATCACAGACATTCCATCCCTTGCACCACGTACTCCGTACGGAATCTATCTCACCTAATTTTAGATGCCTACAGAAACAACATCCACCACTGAGCTAGTCAGGCTCCTTTTATAGTCAGTGGAGAAGAAACAGAGGCTTCTAGGGGTTGAGTAATATGATTTCTCCTGTTAAGAGATGAATCATGTCCTAGATTCCTGACTACACTGACTAGATCTCCACTGACTGCAGAGGCTGCTGAGAGGAGATGCAGACATTTGTAATGCAGACCTCTACATTTAGTTACATACTTCCCACCCTTTGAGCTTGATAGCACAGAATTAAGTCTCAAGCTCTGGATATACTGTTGATAAAACTCCACAGTAGTTGCTTTTTCCCACTTTTGGAAACCATTTTTAACACAGTACTGACACAGTATCTTTCTAATAATTTTACCTTAAAGAAAAAAATAAAGTGTATCCTGAAATTTAAATAGTTTATTACAATTTTGTGTGGTTAATAAATGAGTTGCTATAATTTTCATTATGTAGACTTAAGTACAGTAACATAGCTATTTGATTTGTATAATTAAAATTAGTAAATTGATGACCCAAAAAAACCCTCTGCACTCACTTCTGTGAATGAGCTGTAAATAGAGCAAGGACACTAATTAATTTCCTTTAAAATATTTTCAAGAAAAAGCCAAATAAGTAATTTATAATATTAATAGAGCAGAAAAGCTGATAAGAATGTCGTGGCTGGCTGAAAATGCATCAAGTATCTAGAAAAAAATCCATTTTTCCATTTCTGATGCTTTGACTCTGCAATGAAAATCCATTTCAAACAGAAAGAATAGTGAAAAAGTAATGTGTATTTTCTCCATAAGCAATAGCTTTAGAAGGAAGAAGGATAATAGAATCAGCAGCTACTGGGAAAAAAACAAAACAAAACAAAACAAACACACACACAAAACAAAACAAAACCAAAACAAAACCAACCCAAAACATGTATTTCTTTTGTCTGTTAGAGGAAATCTATTGCTGCCGCTAAATGTCTGCCCATTCCTAGTAATGAGACATTCTCTGTTGCTGAAGTGAGCATACCAGTAAGATTTCATGCACATATAAAACAGTGATCTTGGTGGAAGTCTAAAAATGCCTCTCAGAAGGAAAAAATCCCACAAACCTATTTTATCTTATAATGACAAACACATTGTCATGACACAAGTATGGAGATTAAGAATTTGAAAGTTCTCGCCCCCCCTTGTCAGAAAAGCTCTCTTCTTTTTTCCCCTATGAAGTTCCTTCAAAATCAGAAAGAAGATGATGAGTCTTCAGGCCGCTACAGCAATCACCGCTTCCCAATAATGAAACAAGTGAAATGCTATTTTCTTCAGAAGCTTTTAAAATACACAGTTATTTGCACAAGACTGCCTGAGACTGAAGATGAATGTCTAATCATTTGGGTGATCTAGGGATGAAACTGAATATACTTACCAACTTCTAGATACTAATCTAATACAGCAGACTGCCTGATGTGAATTGCCTGCGCAAATTCCTTGTGGTATATAAAAATCTCAGGGACTACAGAGGATCACAACAGACCCCTGCTAGAAAAAAAGACAGTATCAGCTACCCGGGCAGCAGTGTTTTCTTCCTTCTTGTTTCCAGATCCCTTGGAGGACTTTCTGTAGATCCCAAGATATATCTGTGCAAAAAGACTAGAAGTTCTGAAAACTGCGAAAGTAGATTAATTGGGAACTGAAGGTTGAAAAACACACATCACTTTTTGAAACATGTACAGAAACAGTACCAGTTGTTCTTTTTGTAGGTCATGAACATGGGCACAGCCAGGAATTCAGCCTCCAGTCCAGAGCCTGTTATCTGATAACAGATGACGCCCTATCTCCAGAAATTTCAGAAGATTTACCATGTTTGAAGACTCTGTGTTGATGATCTTCAGGAAAAAAAAAAAAATCCACCTTAAAATTTTTTCTGGGAATTTCAATAGGTTCTCTCCCCATTGATTTTTAGCAGGGGAAGCACAACCCCAGAAATAACTTGATTTGGGGGCCAAGCCGGATTGCTTGCCTGAACGGGCAATCAGTGCAAAGCCTTTTCTCAGATAGTGTACACTAGCTAAATTATTCTGTGTACTTGCCTAAATGACAGTAGTCTTTTTACATATGTATATGAAAAGAGTTTTTTAAATTGTTACAGACAAGTTATTGTATTAAGCAAACCGCAAAGGTATCTCCAAGCAACCAGCCGTGATAAGAAAATATGCAGTATTAGGTGTACACACAGCCATTATTTTAAGCAAAGCTATAGGAAAAGTTGGGGAAGACTCAAAGACACACAGGTCTGTGAATGTTTGAAAGACTGAAGAAATGTGAAGTTTTCCAAATTACTTACCTTGAAATAGCATCTTATTCCTAAAACAAGGACATGACTGAAAAAGCAAGAGTAATATTAAAAGCAGATTTGACTGAACCAACATGGGATTTAAATTTACAACCTAAACTCACCATTCTTCTCAACAGCCTTTATTCTGCTGATAATATAACTGTGGGCTTGCTTAGTCGTCCAGTTAACTGTTCCATTATTGCCATCAGCAGAGCTTAACAAAAAAGCTTTTCAGAATAAAACAAATGCAAAAAAAAAAAATTAGTCAGATCGGCAGACTCCCCCAAACCAAGTATCAGATGGGATCAGAAGCCTTCTAAACCAGGTTCTAAACTCAGAGTTTAGGAACTTCAGTTAAAAAAATGGTGGTGCTTGATTTGAATATATAAACATATAATAATCTTTCTGAGAGTCACCTTTTTAGCACTCATTTTTCCAAATTAGCTAAGTTTACACTAAATGCTTAAACCTCTGCAGACATAATTATACTGATAACAAAGGTAATGAAGAGCATTCTCTGATAAATATATTTGCACTGGCAAAACCTCATATACAGGCAAAGACATATCTAAAGTTACTTTCACTGGCATAGTATATTCTAGCAAAAGTAGGGAAAGTAATATAATCAAGAGCACATCTTTGCTTATATAAAGACACATGGGGCTGATTGCCTCGCCTTGCAGGCATAACCAATTTAAAAATCAAATTTGAAAAAAGAACCAGTTAAAAATGGTTCTCTTCATCCCACACAGCTAGAACACACGCTGAAAACAGCTGGATCACTGCAGCTGAAGGTGCAAGGAGGTTTAAATGTGGTGATGAGCAAATGATTACAAGAGCCAGAAAGCAGCTGTGGAGCTGAGGGAAAGACTGTTTCACCAGTAGCAGAACTGCCCAAGAAAGCTCCCTCCCCACTTCCTGCTTTTAGTTCTTTTGTTCCCTTTCTTCTGTGATGAATAATAGATATATCATCTGTTTGTACAGTTACAAGCCAAGTGAAAGTGCAGAGGAAAGGAATTTCAACCAGATGCTAGGAAAGGGAAAGTGGACATAATAAATAGTCTTTCGTTTGAAACTGTTTAGGAGCAGGAACTCACGTCAAACCCTAGTTAAAAGATGTTATCGGATTAGCACCTTAACTTCCTTGTTAAAATAGCAATATTAGAAACATCAAGTAGCAGTACTTGCATATAGATACACCAGTTTCAGGAAGAAATGAACACTCATTGGCAAACACTCAAAGTATGCAAATATCATTTGCACCAGAAGCTTAAACATCTTGTGGAAACTTCTGCTGACATAGTTACACCAGTCAGCTATTACATTACTGGTATCACATCCCCAAAGCAGAATTTAGGAAGCCCAACAGATCTGTCTTAAGCAGGAGTCAAGATACACAAATACTCAATTTATGCATATGAATGAGCCATTTATTAATGATAATTTACACAAAACATCTCAAAATGAATTGAGGATGAAGTGCGTGTGGCAGGGGTTTTGGTAGCGGGGCAGGGGGCTACAGCAGTGGCTCCTGTTGAGAAGCTTCTCAAAGTTCCCCCAGCTTCGAGTTGGACCCATCTCTGGCAAAAGTTGAGCAAATTAGTGATGGTGGCTGTGCCTCTGTGATAACATATTTAAGAAGGGGAACCTCGGAGGAGGAGCTGGAGTTGTGAAGAGGAGTTGTGAGGGAGAAACCTATGTGAATACTGGTTTCGCATAATGGAGATTATATGCCACTAACACAGAACAGTCTGCGTTGTTTAGTAAAAAGGTAATCAATGATGCACACTTCTACAGAATAAAATGTAAACGCATACCCAGGAACAAAGGTGGCATGCCATACGCACACTACAGAGCACACACTTCAGGGATGCTGAACTTAGATAAAAAAAACTAGGAACATGCATCAGGTAATAAGTGGTTGAACAGAAGCTTTTAGCAGAGAACTAGTTAGAACAGCTGATATGTAAACAGCAACATCAAGGAGGAGCAGGAGATTTTATTTTTGTACTTGACACAGACATGATCACTGTTCAGATGCTGTTTCTAGTACTTACACAGAGCCTTCAAGAAGCATAGTGACAACATGAAGAAAGCTCAGGGAAGATCTGTGAATATGATTAAAGGATGACAAAAGAAGCCTTATACTACAGAAAGCAGGGACTCAAACTGTGCATTTTATCAAAGAGACAGTTTAGAATTAATTTAATCAGCCTTGTACTCATGCTGAAAAAAATGTTAATAGTGTCAGGCTCTTCAATTTATTACACATGTTGCCACAGTTGCTGGAGCACCCACCAGTGCTTGTAACAGCAGGAGCAACTCACAGCTTGGTGCCTGGGACTTGAACATGCCCAGGTGAAGTACATCTACAGTGTTCTATATTTTAATTTCTTATATTTTTAATTAATGTCTTAATTTTATTTTCCTTGATATTTTAAATTGTATTTGTATTATTTTATAAATATAAATTATATTTCTAGAATTTTGCACTATTTTTCCTTTAATTAAATTTGAATAGGTTTTACGTAAAGATTTTAAATATTAATATTTTACAGCAGAATATTTAAGAGAAGGTATCCACAACAATTTCTGCCCACCTCACAATCCAAAAAGGGCCTAAGTATCATGGACCAACTTTATCTTCCCCATTCTTTTACAACAGTCTAACACCCATACACCATCCCGCACCCTTAACTATTCTCCTTATTGCTTCTTTGAGGTAGGGTCTCAATCCCATCTCTCCTACTACTGATGCAGCACACGGCTCCAGCTCTCAAAACACAGCACTTCCCCTCTCTCCCACACCTCCACCTTCACTTGGGACCTGGCTTAAACATGTGCTTGTTACTTTTATGCCACAGACCAGGACCTCAGGCCACGTCTCATGCAGTTGGTGACCGGATGGATGGTGACACTCAAAGAGCTGCAGTCAACGGCTCAATGTCCAAGTGGACACCAGTGACAACTGGCGATCCTCAGGGGTCAGTATTGGGACCAGAACTGTTTAACATCTTTGCTGGTGACACAGACAGTGGGATGGAGTGCACCTTCAACAAGTTTGCCAATGACACCAAACTGTGTGGTGTGGTCGACGCACTGGAGGGAAGGGACGTCATCTAGAGGCACCTGGACAGGCTGGAGAGGTGGGCCCGTGTGAACTTCATGGAGTTCAACAAGGCCAAGTGCAAGGTCCTGCACAGGTGTCAGGGCAATCCCAAGCACAAACACAGTCTGGGGAACGAGTGGACTGAGAGCAGCCCCAGGGCGAAGGACTTGGGGCTATTAGTTGATGGAAAACTGACTGTGAGCCAGCAATGTGTGCTTGCAGCCCAGAAAACCAACCACATCCTGGGCTGCATCAAGAGAAGTGTGGCCAGCAGGTCAAGGGAGGGGATTCTCCCCCTCTACTCCACTCTCATGAGACCCCACCTGCAGTGCTGTGTCCAGCTCTGGGGCCCCCAAAATGACAAGGACACGGACCTGCTTGAGCAGGTTCAGAGGAGGCAATGAAGATCATCAGGGGGCTGGAGCACCTCTCCTATGAAGACAGGATGAGAGAGTTGAGGCTGTTCAGCCTGGAGAAGAGAAGGCTCTGGGGAGACCTTATAGCAGCCTTCTAATACTTAAAAGGGGCTACAGGAAAGATGGGGAGGGACTCTTTATCAGGGAGTGTAGTGATAGGACAAGTGGTAACAGTTTTAAACTAAAAGAGGGTAGATTTAGATTAGACATAAGGAAGAAGTCCTTCATGGTGAGACACTGGCCCAGGTTGCCCAGAGAAGCTGTGGCTGCCCCCTCCCTGGAAGTGTTCAAGGCCAGGTTGGACGGGGCTTTGAGCAACCTGGTCTAGTGGAAGGTGTCCCTGCCTGTGGCAGGGAGGCTGGAACTGGATGATCTTTAAGGTCCCTTCCAACCCAAATCGTTCTATGATTCTGTGAATTGGTCACATTATCCAGCAGAGGAAGCAGAAGCTACACCACCACCTACTCTCCCTCCTCTTCCAACCTCCACACCCCTTCCTCTTACCTAGTATGCAGTAATTAAGCAACCATCACCGTAGAAATTTACTATGAATTAAAGTGGATTCTCTCAGTGGAAATTCACATCAAGATGGGATATTTTCTAACTGATAAAATCATCTTCAACAATAGCTACTACATAAGAAAAAAGAACTAATTTGTGTTAGTTCTGCATTGTGAACTACTCAAGTCCCTCTGCACTGCATCTATTATAACTCTATAAAAGTTCAAATCAAACCCAGAAATGTTTCTAAACTTATTCATCTTTGCTCAGTAAGAAATGGTTTTCTATCTATTTCTGTGCTACCCACTGATTACTGTAACATCTAAATATTTCTCCAAGATCATTTCAGAGAAGTAACTGAGTAAGGCATTTTGTCAGCCTCACTGTGAAACTCTGGCATTTGCATTTTTGGGAATGCTGCAAATTAAGTATTGGTAGAACAAAAACCTCATGCTTTATTAATAGTAGCATTTACCCACCACAATTCCCCCCCTCTACTGCAGGCCCGAGAAGAGAACCAAATTAGAGTAGCTTTTCCATGAACGTAAGGAAAAAATTGCTAGTTCCTGCAAAAGAAAAAACTGCCAGTCCAGCCCCAAGACCACAGTGCAACCAGAGGATATGGCCAGGTGACCCTGTAACCTGCTATTCCAGGATGCCCCTACATTCTGTCATCTCTCGATATGAATTACCAGAATATCCCTGCAATTACAATCCAAATTTCTGAGATGGGAATCGATTTAAAGACTCCCTTTAGTCATTCAGAAAAGGTTTCAAAATGATGAGATTTCTGTCTGATCACTAGATTGTCCTTTCAAACTTCTTGTGGCTTGGACTGCCACTAAAAATAATCTACATTTAAAAGGCATTTTGGTGACTTGCTTTGCAACTATAACATTTAGACACAGTCAATGTTTATGTAAACTTTTTTTTTTCTATTACATAATGAGCACCATAACTATGGTGTTAACAAAACAATGCATATTTTCAACCTATGTAACATGTTCATGCTAATTCCAAGACAGCAACACGTAGCAGTGAATACTGAAATCCATACCTTCAGCTCAAAATCTGTAGCACCCTGTTTCATATCGAAAACACTTCAACAAGATAGTTATGTAAAAACTCTTCTCGGGATAGAGCACTTATTGGTTGTACTAGTTCTTGCTACTACTTGCTTGAAAGGCCTTTCAGCTGATTAGGAGGGAAACTAATATGTGCTCTCTGGTTTCTTGGCTCTTCTGTTTCTTTCAAATTCCTATGAAAGTAATCACAACTAGAAACTCCCTCCTTTCCTCTAGAGCTCTGCCAAAAGGCGGCACTCTACACTGATAGTGTCTGCTGTAAATTTCTCAATATCTATTCAAGAACAGCTCAAAAGCTGTACCAAAATAGATATTCTTGTCTAGGTTTGAAATTCCTTCTTCTTAGTTTGACTGGAAAGGGGTTTACACTTTGGTGACCATAACTCCTGAAGTACTTTAATGAATTTCTAACAAAATCTAAAAACATTAAGGAGCAAGAATAAGCCTCTTTACACACTAAAAGTTTTGTCTGCAAGATGAATTCCTGCTATACAGCTGACTTCTTATTGTCTGGCTTTAGGATCTCTCTAAGATGTCTCCATGTAAGCTATACCACCTATAAATAATGTGCTTCTGTAATGAAAAGCATACTAACAGATTGGCTAGCTTTTCCCTCCTACAATTACTTATTCGAGCAAGTATTCATTGACAATAGATTTTATTTATCGATCTAGGTCAGATTAGCACAGACTTGACAGGCAACATCTTCACAGGCAGATATTCAGAGCCCCGTATGAAGAAAATCTGTTTCTTTGCCCTTATGGTTGCATCCACAAAAGAAAAAAGGGTGTGTATGCTATGGTATTAGTTTCAAAACACTAGACTGTCTGAGAAATGTTCTGCCTCCCTCTGTGGGGTGCGGCTGAACAGCAGAGTGTTGCCAACAGTGCTTCTGCTGTGAACAGCGGGATGGGAAGAGTGCAGGGATCTAGTTCAGGCTCTTGAATACCCGTTCCAGCCTGTGATTTCACAGTTGTTTTAAACTAGTGTATATTTGCAGCCTCGCTGAAAGGGGGGATTCCCAGCACTTTCTTGGCCACCTAGCCCACACCAGTGTAAATGATCCCGTGCCAGTCCTGGTCAGTAAATTGATTTCTGTGAGCAATTTTTATTTCTGAGAGGACTAGTTTTCAGCCAGATGACCCAATTCACAGTACCACTGTACAAGTTATTTAGCACCAACAAGGGAAGCAGTGAAAAATGTCTAGCTGTGGAAGGGCAGGAGAATGTTTTCTGGCAGCAACTCAGCTTTATGACAAATTAATATGACCACATAATCACAGCTTCAGAAGTAAGAACTAACGAGCTCCTTCCCCATTTTGTCCCCTTTCTAGGGAAGGGGGAATATGACTCCATCGCTCTACAAGTCCCTGTTCCTGGAATGAAACAGGGGTTCCAGGGAAAACACAGGCACTAACAACTAATTCTTTAAGCATAGAAATACAGGGCAGCCACCATAAAATGGCAACAGTAATTCAAACAACATTTTGATGACCACTCTCTCTGTAGAAGCAGAATATGGGGGCAATTAATTGCTCTGCCAAATTAACATGTCAGACTTCTCTACTAGTTTAATCTAGTAAACTTCTACTGTATCTGTTACTGTGAAGCTAGAGTCAAAGAACAACTACCTAGCTTGTATCAGAAATGCTTAACCTGAAACGTCACCTCTCACAACAACGTTCCATTTTTTCTAGCAGTATAGAAAATGATCATCAGCTAGTATTTGAGAGTCAGTACCTTCAATTTGAGTACTATATTAGTACCCCAGGAGCAAATGCTGGACCTATGAAATCACTCTTACACCCTTTAAACTCTTAAAACCCTTTAAATCCCTGGATTTTGAGTTAGCATTTGGCCACAAGGAGGGTAGGGAGAAGTCAGAGGGGGACAACTTGGACTTCTGACAGCAGCCAGCCTCCTCCAAAAAGCCCTTAAGTATGTATTTCATGCATCTTTAAGAACTGCAAAAAGAAGTCAAGTTTTTTTCTGTAAATCAAGTGCTACAACATAAACGGGAAAAACTAATCTCTATTAGTAGAGAAGTCTGAGAAATCTATTTACAGATCTTGTGCTACTTCTCATGTTCCATTTTGTCTGCAAGATGTCTTTTGCCAGGTTAAGTAATGCTTCAGTACTGTAGAGTCTACTTAAAAACAGGAGTCAAAAGAGGATTTTCATGCAGGGCTGTGGCTCATATCAGAGCCAGCAGATGAGGTTGGAAGTTCTTTCACATGGTCATAGTAGAGATGTCAGGCTCTGGGAAAGCAGGAAGATGCTACCATGAAAACAATAGGGTTTGTTTTCGGGTGGTCTGAGTTGGAGTTTATTTGCTTAAGGGTATGCAAGAGGAGCTAAGGTGAGCTCCTGGGATAATTTGCATTGTTCAACTTCTACAAGCTGTCTTGTACCTGAATTCAGACCAGGAACATACTATAAAATTCTACCTTGATGTAGAATAAATTTTATATAGATCTCTCTTACACAAACCTAACTGAAGTTCATGCTTCCTTTTTTAGATTGGTCTCAAACTGTGTATTCTGCCGTTTCAACTAATGAAATCCAACTGAACCAAGTTTATAAAGGTCTGAATTTGAAGTGGAAAAATTAACACTGAAAACCTTAAGACCTCTTTCCTTACCACGTAGCCTGGAAGGGACTTGTGGATTAAACTCACAACTCTGCTTCTGGAAGCTCATTTCAGTTGGACTTTTTTAAACTTGATACTGAAATCTTACCCTAAGACTGTCCTCATCCTTTCTTGGTTGCTATCCCCACAACTGGTCTTGGCAGAGGGAGGCAGAAAGAATTTCCACATAAGGTGAAAGCAGTATTTTGCATCTAAGAAATCCAAAGTTTTATCCTCATATTGAACATATTAATGCCTAGGTGAAAAACTGCATCTTTAATATATCCAATGGCTCATGTCACTTCTGCTGTCAGTATCCTATGACAAGTATGGCCATATACTTAAAGAAGTACTGGAAGTGTACCTAGATATTATTCAGGAAGATACCAAGCGGATTTGTTAGCTTTCAGCTGACACACCACTGACCTCTCAGACACCAAATAACCTAAAGAAATAGATTTATTGCTGTTAACTCACTCTTGGGGTTGCAACGGTCTCACAAAGGCACTCCTGTGGCTGGGCTGCTATTAAGTGTTTACTAAGCGTTATCCAGTTTAAGTATTTCCCTGTGAAGAACCTTTGTGGGTGTGAAACCTGACGGTTGCACAGCTGCTATTATTGACACGTATTAGGGAGCAGGATTCAGATTTTTGCTGCAGTCCTAATTCTGATGTAGTTGGATTAAATGGTCAAACTGGGAAATAATTTGGGCGGGGTGGGGTGTTAAGATACAAAAGATGTCCCTGCACTCAAAACAGCCCAGCTCTCGGGGACAAGCATGAGCCCTGCCAGGTCGAGGGAGGGGAGAAGTGGAGCGGGCGCTGCCGCCCGGCCCGGCGCTGTCCCCGGCAGCGGAGCCGCCGCCGCCCAGCGACTCTCAGCCAGGCCTCGCTCCCGGCCCCGGCCCCGGCCCCGGCCCGGCTCCCTCAGCTCGGGGCCCCGCCGGCCCCGGGGCGCTCCCCCCGCGCCGCGCCGGGAGGGGAGGGCTGCGGCGGTCCTCTCCGCAGGGAGAGAGGCGAGGGGCGGGCAGGCCGCCATCCCCGAGCCGCCTTCCAGGTGTCCTCCCTCCGCCGTGCCGGGAAGCGGCTGGAGCCGCGGGGTCGGGAGAAGGCCGGGACGGCTCAGCCCCCGCACCGATGGCGAGCTGGGAGCCGAGGGAGAGGGGGACGTCAGCGAGACGCAACCCGCGGAGGAAGCGGCGCTGCCGGGAAGGGCCGCGAAGCCCCGCAGGAGACGGGGTAGGGGAGGAACGCGGCGCAGTCCGGCGAGGCCCGTGCCCGCGGTGAAACGCCGCCGTGACCGACCTGTCAGCAGGAGGGTGGTGAGAGCTCCCCCGCTGTGCGGCCAGGGCCCCGCCGCACAATACCGCATCGCTCCCCGCTCCTCCGCCTGCCGCTGCTGCTGCTGCTGCTCCCGCTCCCTCTCCCTCCACGACCGCCACAGCATCCTCCGCTCCACTCCGCGCCGCCGCCTCGCCTCGCCCCGCGGCAGCCGCAGCATCCCCCGCCCCGCCCCGCCGGCCGTTTCCAGGCAGCGCGGCTGCCCCGCGGGGCATGCCGGGAGGAGCCGCCCGGCGGCCATGTTAGGGGGGCACGGGTGGGTGTGGGGATGTTGAGCTGCCTGGTGAAGGGTTCTCGGGGTGCGGCGGCTGCTAGGCCCCCCGATGGAGTGGGCAGGCTGGCTTGTGGGCCGCTGGCAGCGTCGAGTGCCTGCCCTGCCCTGCCCTGCCCTGCCCTGCCTTGCCTTGCCCTGCCTTGCCTTGCCGGGGCTCGGCCATGTCTCAGCGAGCTTAGCCTGTCGCCTCAGGCCAGGGGCGCGAACGTGGCGGGCACGAAGTGGTGGTGAAGTGAGGGTGCGCCGCGTGGGGAAGGGGAGGCAGCGGTTGTGACACCTCGTCACTTGCCTCTCGCATCTCTGCTCCCTCCCTTGAGGCCGGGCTACAAGCAGCAAGGCGGGACAGGACAGGACAGGACCCCTCACAAGCATGCCTGGTGTGCACGGGTGTGGTGCACTGTTGGAGGGCATTCTGGCTGAAGTCCTTGCAACATCACTTTTCTGATTATCTTACCCCTTTTGAAGTTTGTATCCCTATTATACGTGTAAATCCAGAGTGTTGAGGGTTTGTTTGTTTGTTTGTTTGTTTGGTGGTTTTAAGTTCAGCAGCTGCACCTGCAGCTATCAGAATTATGCGTAGGGTACCTGGAGGGTATGGTCAAGGGTCCAAGCTCCAGGCTCTCGTGTGTGGAGGCTTGTTGCATCTCTTGCACTGCTGTCTTGCAGCTTTGTGGCCTCCATTAAAGGCTGTACCCGATTTCCTCATCGTTCTATGCTGTCTCACTTCACTCTGGCTGTATTACACTTTCTGGACTAATTATTGATTTTTGGCTGCCATTTAATGTCTGTGGTGTAGCCCAGAAGCTATGACAATATTTGCTCCACGGTGGAAGCAAATCCCCCCTGTGTAGGAAGGAAGAATACTGTTAAATATGGTTCTTGGCAATGGTGGTGCATTTTGTGGGTAGGTGTATGTATATGTCATATATAACCACTTAAGACACAGTGCTGTGTAAATACATTTTCTTTTAGGGAGCTACAACTCTCAGCTTTCTATATGGCATATATAAGAGCAGTCCTTGTACTAGAACTACATACAGAACCACATCTAGAGCCATGCCTGCTTTTATATATTATTTGATAAGCTTGATTAACTCATTTAAATTTGCAATATCTTAGGGCAGTTATGCATGGGGGGGTAGATTTATTGGCAAATACTTTGTAAATGTTTTACTGCATAGGCTAGTATAGAAGTACATTTAAATAGGGACAAGACTTGGATGGAGAGTGTGTGTGAAATACTTGCTTGGAATTGCATAGAATGTAGTTGAAGACTTTTTTTACCTTCCACAACTAAAGCCTCGATTCAGCAAATAGATCTGTTTCTACTTTTATTTTATCCTTCTGGTGGATTGTCATTTTTGATATTTGCAAATTGTAGTAAGTCTTCCATTATCCATGAAAATGACCTTCCTTCCTTTGTTCTGCATGTATGTTCTTCCTTCCTGTATGTTCTGCATACAGAATTCTGATTTCTCATGAAATTTCATAAGCAGTTCCACTATTGTGAGCCAAATGCATTTGCAAAAAACAATTGTATGCTTTTGGGGTTTGGAAAGAAGAAATGTAATCTGGCTTACTCAAATTGTATTGACCCTGTTGAACTCTTTATAAGCAGGGGAAAAAAGGCAACTGTAGAAGACTTTACCCTATCTGGCCTCAGTCTTGTTGCAGCTCTAAATTTCCATCAATCCATGTCATGAAGGGGGACTTTACATAGTAAGAGGCTCTTTGGTATAAAAGTGCAAAATACTCTGGTGTTTTAGTCAGCCAGCTCATTACCCCAGATAAAGGATTTTTTATTTTTCCACCGAGACCTTTCAGAATATATTCACATTTTAAATTCGACTACATAGATACTTCAGAGCAGAAATCACACTCCTTCATTTACCTCCATCCAGAAGTACTCTTCTGTTTCATGGCACTTCATAATTTTGAGTAGGCCGACTTCTACTCTGAAATTATATGTGATTTTTTTGATTCATTCCTTTATGGAAGCATGCAAAGCCATATAGGTGCAGCTGTGCCATAGTGATCTCAGCTAGCTCATTCTGTGATGCTAATATTTACACTAACTAGTGAGAATACTAGTTACCAGAATACTGGTAACTAGTATTCTCACTAGTAAAGTGTGTTTTTATGCTAGTGAAGTGTCTGATTTTTTTTTTTTAAACATCTCTACTGTCATCAGCTTATTAATCACCATTTCTTTCCAAGTAATATCTTGTTGAGATGTTATTCGTATAGCTACTATAACACCATCAACGTCATTGTTTTTTTAATGTAGTAGCAGCAGTGTAGTAGTGTTCAGTGCTCTGCCACCTCTGCATAGAAAGAAGGCTACGTTCATCTAAAACATGTTTGTGGGATACACTGCCTGAGAAGAAATGGCTATATGTCATTGATATGTAAAGAAGTGCTGCAAGGGCCTGCCTTGTCCCACGGCTTCCTTCATAGCAGCCCTTGCACGTGGGTATCTATGTCTTTTTTGTTGGTTGTATCTTGAGGCTGGGATTCCAAAGCATACAGCACTGACCCTGCCCCGCAAGACAGACTTTGACTTGCCTGAGAAACTTAAGGTAATGCTGTGCACTTAAGAATTCTACTCTTACGTTCATAAAATGAAGTGATATGGGCAAAACAACTTGCTTAAATCAGCCACCAGTGACTTGATACTGGTTAGAAATATTCCCTCTGTAAGTACTTCTTTCTCCTTGTACTGTAATTTTAACAGACTGTAACAGAAATTAATGGAAAGGGATGCAGTGATGAGACATTTTTACAGAATTGTTCTGTATTCCATATATAGTGCATTTGCTTTGGCGAGTAGAAGAGCCGACTTCTAACATGACAAGAGTTTTTAGCTAAAATCTTTTAATTCCAGAGTATAAACCCCTCATTTCTTAGGGATGCAATAGTGACAATTGCTGTTTCCCCATGCATTCTGCAGACTTGGTCTGAAGGTTCATTTTGTTCTTCAGATATGTTTGACAATCAACTTCATGCAGAAGGAATACAGCCTAATCCATTCGCCTCTGTCTTTTAGAGCACAGGTGCTTCCAGTTTGAACTTTATACATAATAAATGTTGGCAAGTGTTGAGTGCTTCTGAAGATCAGCCCACCTAAACAAAAGAAGGACACATGGTCTTTTCTACCCCCTTTCCCCTTTTTTTTTTTTTTAGGCACTCTTTTGGGGAGAATATTTGTATATAGCTTTTAGTAAGGTTAGCAACTAGTATACCAAGACATTACATGAGACGTAAAAAGAACAACTACAATTCTTGTTACAGTTTGCGAGTCCTGAGGAGCTTTATAACACCACCTATCATTACATTCCAAGGATTCTTATTTCTTTTGTACTCATGTCTTTCTAATGTTTACTGGAAGCTTTTTGGCATGTTAATGTGGTAATTTGTGACTGCAGTGTACTACTAGTTTTTATGCAGTGCTAAACTGCATATATATGCAGCAGTGCTACAGACCACAGTATACAATGAAAAATTATTCAAAAATTAGGGTATCAAGAATTTTAATATTATGTGAAATGCACATTATTCAAAATTAACTTCCAGAGTTGAACAGAAATAGATTTTTATGAGCTGTGTTTTTAGCTGATTTAGCCCATGTATTTTATCTTTTCCTGGAATTTTAAATGGTTAAGAGGAGCCCAGAAGATTTAATTATGTAATGTAGTAGTTTTCTGTAGAATTTGACATATATTTTGGAAAATACCATGTGTTTGGAGAAAGAAGGTTATATATGTCCAAATATGGAAGTGATAAACAAGAAGAAATAAAAAAAAAGAACTTGGAAGAAATAAGAAGTGCACTGTAAATTTGAACAGCCTACAGGCAACTTCAGTTTGCTGAGCCAGCACTTACATCGCCAGTAGCCCTGTGTGTCAGTGACTTTGGCATTAGTACAGAGGTTATAGTTTCACGTTTCTGAGTAGTTCTTGCGGCTTTTCAGACATGCACTACTGCACCTGAAATACCGATTCTTGTCAACATTGTAGGAGTGCTTTCACACTCTTTGTATGTACAATGGCCTGTGTTTGCCCCTCTCTCCCTCTTTAGGGCACTGTCAGGCAGCAGTGAGTGAAACAATATCAAGGCAAAGCTTTTCTTTTATGAGAGACTTCTATTTCAAACATACTTGCTGCTTGGTGCTCACTGATGGCTCATACCTTAGTTTAAAAGAAAAAAGTATAGACTGTGATTTTCATCACACAATTTTTCCTGTGGCCAAAGCTTTTCGGAAGCATGTTGGTTCAAATAATTAATATTTCTATCAGTGTTTCTAACTGCTATTCTAGAAAGACACAAAAATAGCTAGGCAGTGGTAAGTTTGATTTTTCTCTCCTTGATCTGTATTGGGAAAGGCTGCATCTTGTAGAATGACACAGAGAATAAGTACAGTATGTATACTGATTTATTATGGGGGAGAAAATAGTACCAGAACCATTATCTGAATCTCTTAAAATCTCTATCTGTAGTACTCAGTAAGCTACTTAGTCCAGTATAAGTATCACTAAATTAATATTTTCTTCATCTTTGTGAGCTGTGCCATTCCTAAATCTCTAGGTTTTAATTTAGCTTAATTTCTTGTATGTTCTGCATAGAGAAGTTAGTTTGATACCTAAATTAGTTAAAAATTCCAAACTAAGGATTGTGTCTTCATTGTTCACCAATTCTTAAGTTATCTACAAAAATTCCTTGTTTCAGCCTTTTCTGTAATGCACATCAAGGCAAACCTCCCCCACCTGGGAAGGTAAGAGTGGGTGTCTGCTGAAAAGCATATGTGAAGTACAATTATCAGAGTTAATGGCTGAAAAATTAGAACTTCTAAATTCTGGTAACATGTGGCTGCCC